TGTCATCGTCACCTGGCACTTTGGCTCATGTGGAGCTGCAGGTCCTGTGGGTGCTCACAGGAAGGAGCTGCCTCTGGGCCGGCCCTGACTGCTCTCTGGGTCAGAGTGTGTATGCCCCTGGGCTGCACCAGCCCTGCCTTTCCTTTTGTACTATTTATAATTCTGAGAACTTTATTTTCCTACGGGCTCCATGCACCCTCCCCAGCACCCAGGTGGGTTTCCAGGCCCCTCCAAGAGCCAGGCTTCCCAGGAACAGCCCTCACAGCTTTCTGCTCTGCTGAAATGCCTTATCCTGAGGTACAACTGGAAGGCTGGTAGGAAAACACTGGGGCTCTTCCCGTTGTTGGCAGACACAGGAGTTCAGGTGAATAAGACCTGATAAATCTCTGTCCCTCCAGCGAGGTGTGTGAAAACAGAATGTGCAAATAAATGATTTGGATCTTTTAGTTGGTGCTTTAGGCTCTTACAAACCCTATTGATCTTTAACTGGGAGGTACCTCAACAAGCCTTTAATGTGCTGTGCCTGCAGGCACTGAAATTCACTTGCTGTTTGATGTTGGTTTAGTATAATGAGATCTGGCTACAGCCACTGAGACGAAAGAGACCTGAAAATCGGGATCAGGGCACCGTAAGCAAGATGCAGTAATACGGAATTGGAGTTGAAGGCAACAGGGTCAGAGTCCCCAGGGAGCTGCTCCTCAATAACCGCTTTATCACACTCTGTGGAGCAGAACTGCCCCGAGCATCCTGTTTGCTGTTGGAAGGCTGGGAGTTAATAGTAACCAGCGGTTTGAGGTTGCTGAAAGGACTTCTCAGGAGGGCTCTTTCATGAGGGAGCTGTTCCCTCGGCAGGGAGACACAGAGTTCACTTTGTAACCTGTTTGTAAGGTGCTCAAATGCCGCGGCAGGGCTGCTACACGCCAAGCCTGGAGTAGCTGCCAGCGCTGGTGATGGAAGTGTTCCGGCCGCTGTTGGCACGGAGCGTTGGCACGTTTGGGGAGCGCTGTCCCCATGCTGGAGGGGAGCTCCCCGTTACTCTGCTCCCCACCACCACTCCCTGTGGTTTGCACCGGTGCCTGTGGCTGAGGCCACCAGCAGTGGGTGATGTTCCAGGGTGCACCCACTGGGAACACCGCAGCAGGAGCACGCTGGCAATGAGCTCCGTAGCACGTAGGTGCCTGCCGGGTTTTACGCAGAGGGCGGGACTCCGGCGCTGTGTGATCGGTGCTGCTGCCAGAGCCGGGCTCTCCTCCAAGTGTACAAGTGCTGCCGCTGCCATGCAAGTAAGATGAAGTCCTGAGAGCTCCAGACAAGATTGTTCTTTGCAACCCCAGTAATGATAAGGCAGAGGAGAAAGGGAATTACATTTACCAGCTTCCCCAGCTCCTTTGGCAGGGGAAATCGGCTGCTAGGATAACTAACTCTGCTCTTCCATAGCTGCTGTTCTCTGCACCAGTAGCTTCATTTACTCTCTGCCAGCCTGCTACAACATTTGTCTCCCCCCTTCTAATACAGATTTATCTTTAACTGGTGCATCTAAGCACCTGCAAATCTCTCACCTGCTCAGCACAGCGTGAAGCCCTCAGCAGGGCTGGTGGTAAAGCAGGGAGTCAGCCACAGAGTGAAATCATTCCAGGAAATCTTAAACCATCCTCTAAAGCATCTCTTTAAAGTGCAGCTGGGGCCCTGAAAGCTGCAGTTGGTTTTTGCTCACAAACCACAAGCACGGTGTTTTTTCAAGTCCTCTGTGTTTAGACTTAAGTGATTTACTCCTGACACAGATTTGCAAACCCACTGAAGCTGCTTGCATTAGCACTGGCTCTAATCTGCTCTGCCTCAGCCACTGCTAAAATGCCTCCTGATTAGTGGAAATACAGTGAGGAGGGAAGAGACCTGGCTTTTCCAGGCTGCCACAGGGAGAAGAGCAGGAGTCACTCAACCAGGTCAACCACTCAGCTACCTGAGAGCCTGGAGGAAATAACTGAATCCTTACTCCAATGAGTACCCCAATAGCCCTTCCCTGAGAAGGGAGAGGTGTTTGGAATGGCCACTGGGAACAGGGGTGGGCTCCTCAGTGGAGCTGCTGCTCCCAGGCAGGGGGTGCAGATCCAAGGACTCTCCTCCCCTCCCAGCAGGACAGGATGGAGGCAGGCTTGTGCCCTGCCACACCACCCTGGTGAGATACTTCCGTCCCTTGAGCACCCCAGACAGCCAGGATGCAGAGAGATGGCTTGGAAGGAGATTTACATCCCATTGCTGTGGGCTTTGGAGAAGCAGAAAGTTACCTGCTGTGCCCATTCTCAGCCCAGTAGTGGGTTGGAGACTGGAAGGGCTGAGGGCAAGGCAGCCTCTGGGAAAGGAGACAGGCCAGGCACCAGCCCAGCCTCAGAGATGTGAGTGACAGAGGAGCACATCAATGATACCCACTTCTCCCTGAACAAGACTAGAAGAAAGCAGACAGCTCCTTACGCCTCTCTGAAGGCTCTCATCAGACAGAAGCAATGGCAGTGGCAGTCAGACAGCAGCTGCACAAGTGCTTTCAGGTCTTTCAGACCATTTTTGGGAAGCTGTGTTTCTTACAGTGTCTTAGAACTAAGCTGCATGTGTATTTAAGCACTTTCCTAGATGGAGATGTGGTTCTGGGCACCCTGATCTAGTTGAAGATGTCCCTGCTCATTGCAGGGGTTGGACTGGATGAGCAGTGAATGTTCCTTCTAACCCAAACTGTCCTATGATCCTGTAAGAAGTTACAGTCAGGCCCAAGGATAAGGCAGAAGCAGGAGATGTGGACCAAGAATGTTTTATTTTAACACAGTAACTTTGAGGACAGCAGCAGAACTCCTTGAGTCCATCTTGCTTTACATCATATCAGGAGGTGGCTGATACAATCTGGCTCGGAGTTGTTCAGACAGGAACCCATTTCCATTTTGAGACAACCAGTTTCAGAAGGCCAAATCCTTCTCTGCAGTGTCTTCAGTCACCCTGGGCTGGCTCCTGCTGCTGAGCATGTCAGTCTTCACTTTGCTCATACTTGTGCTTGATGTGTTTCCACAGTTTCTGCATGCAAAACAAACCCAAAACCCCAATCTTAGCCCGCTTTTCAGTGCTCCTGTGGTAACGCTGCACTTGAAAACACAAGTTATCATGACACCTATGACCATGACAAGCAGCAGCAAAAGGGGAAAGAAGCCTTTGTATGAAAACACACCCACAAGTGCCAGCAGGGTATGGGACAAAGGGGGATCCCCTCAACCTGCACCTCCCTCCCATGGTGTACACCCCACTATATGGGGGGAGCTCCAGGGGCACGAAGCTGCTTCCTGCTGTGGAAGGGATACAGTGGGACACTCCATCCTCCCACTGTGCTGTGTGTCCCTCCCACCTTCCTCGCCTTCTTTTGGGCCTTCACAAGTACAGCACCCATGGGTGGTGCTGTGCCTCAGCTCCCCACAGGCCTGGGTCTGCAGGGTGGGGCAGACACAAGCTGGGCTCAGAGCTTTCAGATGAGATGCAGGGGGAAGCCACACACATCCCGCTTGCTCTGCTCTGCGAGCTGGAGATCATTGGGGAATTCCAGTCACACTGCCTTAGCTTCCCATTCGGACTAGAAAGGGCTTTTCTGCTCCCAGAGAGACAGGATGCACAGAAAGATACTGTTCCAGGCTCTGAAATGTGCTGCAGCCATCAGAACAGAGGGAAGCACTGCACAGGGTGAGGAGTGTGCTGGGCTCTGCTATTTGTCACAGACAGTGCTTTAGATTTAAAATCCAAGTTATCATCCTCGCTAATTGCACAGAATCCCAGCCTGGTCTAGGCTGGAAGGGACCTTAAAGCTCATCCAGTCCCAACCCCTGCCACAGGCAGGGACACCTTCCACTAGAGCAGCTTGCTCCAAGCCCCTGTGTCCAACCTGGCCTTGAACACTGCCAGGGATGGGGCAGCCACAGCTTCTCTGGGCACCCTGTGCCAGCGCCTCAGCACCCTCACAGGGAAGAGCTTCTGCCTCAGAGCTCAGCTCAGTCTCCCCTCTGGCAGGTTAAAGCCATTCCCCTTGGCCTGTCCCAACCTGCCCCTAGCACACAGAAAGTGAATGCTATAATTAAACAAAAGTTGTAGAGCACAGAGCTGATGTTCAGATGTGATTTTATGTCAGCTTTTAACTGCTGCTAAAAAGGAGGGGGCAAGGCCCCTGCTCTTGCTCTCTGCTGTGTCTGCAGCTCACCCAAGCCCTGGTGTCCCCCCAGGGCAGTGAAGATGCTGCTGAGGAGCAGGGAAGGCACAGGCCAGCTCTACTCAACTACTAAGGTGCCCTTGGTGCTCTAGGACAGCAGCAGGGCATAGGACCCTGTGCTGCAGGTGGGGACGTGCAACACGCCAAGCTCGGGGGGGGGGGTGGGGGGTATCCCTGTTGCAAGATGGAAGTGACAGCATTCCCTGTGCGGGAACCTTCCACGTCCTGTGCAGGTGAGCCGGGATCCGGGCAGCGCTCACCCCCTCACAGCGAGACGTGAGGGCGACCGGACAGCACCGCAGCCCTCACCGGGCTCCGCTACCGGCAGCCCCCGCAACCCAACGCCTCTGCTCCCTTCACCCCAGCGGGCCCTGCGGCAAGGCCTCAGCCTGACCTTCAAGCCCCGGCCTACCCCGGGGCGGCCCCGCCGCCCTCCTCCCGCCCTTACCCCCTCGTTGAGGCGCTCGAAGAGGGCGTCCGCGCCCTGGTCGAAGACGCGCTCGAAGAGAACGGCGCCGAGGACGATGGTGAGGGCGAAGGTGGAGGTGCGGCGGAACAGCGCGCTGTACGCCTGCCGCAGCAGCGCCATCTTCACCGCGCTCTGCGCAGGCGCGCGCTGCTGCCGCGGGGCATTGTGGGGACTGTAGGCGCCGGGCCTGCTGGGCGCCGCCGCGCCGCGGTGCATTGTGGGAGTTGTAGGCGCGGCGGGAGCGGGGCCTGGTGGAGAGGAGCGGTCCGTGAGGTAAAACTTGCCCCGAGAGCGCGTTCCGGGGGGTTCCGGGTCTGGGTTAGGCTGCGGTGAAGTCGGGAGCGCCGGGTGGGCTCTGCTCCGGCGGCGGGACGGGCCTGGTGTCGGCTGGGGAGGAGAGCGGGGGAAGTGGTGGTGGTTTCTCGCTGTTCGGGCCGTTGCGGAGGGCGGTGAGGGCCAAGGGGAATGGCCTTAACCTGCCAGAGGGGAGACTGAGCTGAGCTCTGAGGCAGAAGCTCTTCCCTGTGAGGGTGCTGAGGCGCTGGCACAGGGTGCCCAGAGAAGCTGTGGCTGCCCCATCCCTGGCAGTGTTCAAGGCCAGGTTGGACACAGGGGCTTGGAGCAAGCTGCTCTAGTGGAAGGGGTCCCTGCCCATGGCAGGGGTTGGAGCTGGAGGAGATTTAAGGTCCCTTCAACCCAAACCGTTCCGTGGTTCTATGACCTCAGCCAAGGACCTTTCTAAACTCATTAACAGCATACAAAAAGGTCCATGGGAAGCACAGTCTGCCAGCGCGGTAGCTCAGGGTGGGATCCAGCCGTTTTCCTTGTCCTGTTCTGTAGGGCCTTGTCAAAGGCACCTCTCCAGCTTTTGGGGGTTTGTGGGGCTTCCTCAGGGGTGGAGCTCTGCCAGGACATCGTTGATTTCTAACCCGGTTCCCAAAGGGAATGGAGCCTGTCAGTGCACCTGAGTGTGGCTTCTGCCATAGCTGCCATGGGGCACACTTGCTGAGTTCCATCAGAAGGGGGTCTGAGATACTACAGGTTACATGACCAGGGAAGTGGGTAGAGGAGAGGGATCCCATTAATATCTTTAGAAAGGAAACATTCTTGACTCTTGCTAGACACCAGGGAATCCCTTCCAACCCAGCCCATTTGGGGATTCTGTGGCTGCTCCAGGGCAGAGCATGACATGGAATCATAGAGCAGTTTGAGTTGGAAAGGACCTTGAGATCATCCAGTTCCACCCCCCCTGCCATGGGCAGGGACACCTCACACTAAACCATGGCACCCAAGGCTCTGTCCAACCTGCCCTTGAACACCGCCAAGGATGGAGCATTCACAACTTCCATGGGCAACCCATTCCAGTGCCTCAGCACCCTCACAGGAAAGAATTTCCTCTTTATATCCTGTTTAATGACCCCACTGAAGTGGAAACGTTCCTGTTTGCCACCCTCTCGTCGTGTTTTTGGTACTGTTTAACCTCAGTGAGGGCAGAGGGCTCCAGGGCAGCTCCAGCGCTGGGAGGAAAGAGGCACATTTGAGGTTACAACAGCAGGACAGCTGGGATCAGGGGAATCTTAAACCTGAAGTCATCTCTCTGCAGGAGTGTTGTTAAAGGAGCGTCTCCATGAGGTCTGAGAACAGATCCTCAGGTGATGCTTGCTCTGTCGTTTCAGTCCTCTTGGCTGCTCAGAAGGAGCTCCTGATCTGGCTGGGCACTCATTTCTCTTAAGTTATTAACGTTTGGCTCCCTGCACACAGCTCCTGCAGAGATCTGGGCTAGGGCAAAGCCTTGGCTTGTGCTGGAAGCCCACATGAAGCCTGGAAGGGGCCCAGTGTATTCCTGTGCCCTGTGTATGGTGCTGTCCCCCTTTGGAAACCTCAGTTATTATTAAGCTCCATGTTTACCCCAGGTGTAAGAGAGGTCAGGGTCTGTCCCTCTGTCATTGGGAGGTGCTGGCAGCCTCTATGTTCCCATGGAGATATGAGCACATTAAAACTGGCAGCCAAGTGTCATAAGCTTGACACTTGGATTTAATTAACTTCACATCTGCCTGGGTATCCAGAGTGGCTGAAATGGCCCCAAGCCTGGGCTATGAGGCAGCAGGAAATTGAGGTCAAGGCCCAGCAGCAATCCTCAGGGTTCAGCAAAGAGAAAAGCCATTACAGGAGACAGACCCATGCCTGCGTGTGCCCATTTCGGGGTCACCTTCTTCCCTCTGTCACAACTTGGGAAATCAGGGAAAGCACCCCCCAGCGAGTCCTGAATACGATCTGCAGCCAATGAGAAGTGCTGCGGCAGCAATTGCAGAAGGGAAGGTGTAGGATGGTGCATGAGGTCTTGCCTGAAGTCCTACCAAGCACCTCAGCCAGACGGGTGAACTGCCTGCCATACCTCCCAACGTGGCTGCAGGAGGCTTACAGGAGAGGCGATTGTGGTTAATGCTTTTAAGCATCACAATGCAAGGCAAAGCAAGCCCTGATTTTTGTGTGTGTTTGGACTTCTGCAGGAAGACTTCAGCTGTCTGAAACCTGCCTGTGTGTCCAGAGGTCTGTCTGTCTGCCTGAATTCAGTTGCAAATGAGGGGCTGGCAGTGGTCACTTATGGCCACGCTGAAGCAGCTCTTTCTAAAGCAGCTCCATTGACTTGATTTCATAATGTCTAACATGGATTTAATTAGCAAACGTCTCTGTTTGCAGCTGAATAATGCTGTTTGTTTACTGGGGGAGCCATGTGGGAACTGGAAGTAGGTTACAGCCTTGTGCAGGGGCTGCTTTTATTCCTCCCTATGAGTTCGGCACAGGGCACTGTGGATTGTTGCTACTGCAGAGGCTTGTAAGAACCCAGCCAAGACAGTCCAGCATCTGAATCCTTAACAAGATGGAAATGTGTTCTTTGGGAGGGGTGATCTCTAGGAGAATGAGATGCTCCTCTAATTGCTTTATTTTTATTCCATTCATCCCCTGCAATGGGAATTGCTGGGAGGATTTGGAAGCCGGCACCTGTGGGGTGTGGGATCTGGCTGCCTGGAATCTGTAGGAGCTTTTGGTGGCGAAGGAGGGGGAAGGAGCTCCTGCAATTATTGCTGGTGGGGTGATGAAAGGAAAAGTCGGAAACAGGATTTCAAAGGCTGCTGCTGCTGGGCTTCTGCAGGCAGAATTCCCAGTGAGAGCTCTGGAAACTTGTGTGGGACCACTGCAGAATCTCATTTGTTTTCCTCGTTCAGAACAGCTGAACTGCAGAGATGGAGTGCAGGAGCCAGCAGCTGAAGCAGGAAGCTTTTCTGTTCCCAGGAACTTTGGGACGCTACGGAATAAGATGCAGAAGGGGGTTTTCATACTTAAAAGCCACAGCAGAGCAGAGCATGAGTGTTCTCTCTGGATCCCAGCAGCTCCACCACAGCACAGCAAAGCTGCTAGTGAAGGCTGGGGGAAATCACAGCTTCATGTTCATTAAGCAGTACTTGGGTTTGGTTTCTTGGGCTGGAGTAGGACAGTTTCACTCCTCAAGCCCTGCAGAGCCGAGTTACAACATCCAAGCAGGAGTCAGGTCTGACTGCAGGTGAAGCAGTCTGCAGTTATATCAGGCAGAGGTAACTGGCTCATCACCTCCTGATGGGGTATTTCACCTGGAGACCAAGGAAAGGACCTTAAACCAAAACCATTTCGCGTTCAGCTGCAGTTTCTGAGTATTTGTCCTTCAGTATGAAGGTTTGCAAGCTGATTCAAAAAAACTGGATCTTTCCATCAAATGCAGATAGAGGAGACTCTGGTTTAACCTGTGGGATGAAGCCCAAGAGTTTTCCAGGGACTTGGGAGCACAGGAAGGCAGGGGGTTTGTGCTGCTGCTCATAGGATGCCAGGATGGGTGCTTGGCAGGGGGCTTGGCAGAGCTGCATTAGCTCAGCATGCTCGGATCAGGGGGATTGCTGTGGCTCTGCAGAAAGTCACAGCCTGGTTTGGAAGGACCTTAAAGCTCCTCCAGCTCCAACCCCTGCCACGGGCAGGGACCCCTTCCACTAGAGCAGCTTGCTCCAAGCCCCTGTGTCCAACCTGGCCTTGAACACTGCCAGGGATGGGGCAGCCACAGCTTTTCTGGGCACCCTGGGCCAGCGCCTCAGCACCCTCACAGGGAAGAGCTTCTGCCTCAGAGCTCAGCTCAGTCTCCCCTCTGGCAGGTTCAAGCCATTCCCCTTGGCCTGTCCCTACATCCCTTGTCCCAAGCCCCTCTCCAGCTTTCCTGCAGCCCCTTCAGGCACTGGAGCTGCTCTCAGGTCTCCCCTTCAGGAGCCTTCTCTTCTCCAGGCTGACCCAGCCCAGCTCTCTCAGCCTGGCTCCAGAGCAGAGCTGCTCCAGCCCTCGCAGCATCCCCATGGCCTCCTCTGCACTCGCTCCAACAGCTCCACGTCCCTCTTGTGCTGCTGCCCCAGAGCTGGATCAGGGCTGCAGGGGGGTTCTCCCCAGAGGGCAGCAGAGGGCCAGGATCCCCTCCCTGAGCTGCTGCTCACGCTCTGGGGGTGCAGCCCAGCACCCAGGGGGATTTTGGCCTCAAGCACACACCGTGGGTCGTGGACAGCAGGTTCTGAGGGAGGCTGTGATTGATTCTGAGCCTGTTTTATTTATAAAATCTTTAATTCTTGCTCTGGTCTCTCTGCCATTTTTTAAATGCGTTTGGCTGTCAAGGTGTCAGAAAGTGGAGAATCACTTCTGGAGTTTATCTCCCAGTCCATCCATCTTTGGCATTTATCAGGTTCCTGTGTGTCACTCTGCAGAGAACTGGCAGCTCCCACAGGGTGCCTGTCACAGCTCCAGTAAGGACAGCTGATGGGGACAGGACTGCACTTAATCCCAAACCCCACCTGCTCCAGGCCCAGCACAGATGTGAGCACAGGAGATCTGTCCTGTTAATCCTCTGTGCTCCACAGCAGCATCTCCAGACTACACATACGTATGGGATCAGCTTTTCCCAGGCCAGGAGAAGCACTGGGCATCTCCAGGTTGCTGGTGGTGGCCATGGGTTGGGGGTTCTTTCCTCCTGGCTGCAAGGCTGTTGTGATCTCAGCTATTGTGAGTGCTGTACCTGGATGCAGACACATCTGTAGGCTGGGGAGTATGCGGAGAGCAGCACTAGGTGTACAGAAGTAAATCAGTAGTGAGTGAAATGTTAGGTCCTTCCGTGTTGGTAGTGCAGCCTCCCACCTGTGTACAGGTCAGATCAGCTGATTTTCGTCTCTGGGGGGTTGCTGAGTTTCTTCCTTTTGGAGAGATGGACACAGGGGAATGTCCCTCCTCTTGCATGGCAGCTTGTGGAGGTTGTCTGTGCTCTGGGGTTCAAGTCTGGGCCCCAAGTGGAGGCCGTGGTGTGGACCTCTTGCTCCTGTTTGCACTGTGGATGGTTTCTGCTGCAGCTTCCCTGGTGCAGGTGGAGCTGGGAGCTGCTGGCTCTCAGCGTCTCTGTTCTGTGGGTCTGAACTCCAGCATGCTCAGGGCAGGAGAATTCCTTCAGCAGACCTGGTTTTGCTTGGAGTATTGCAGAGAAGAGGTGTAGATCTGAGCCTCTTCTCCCATGTACATGCAGCAGATGCTGCCTTGCCAGTCTCTGATGGACAAGAATATATACTGCTGGGTCTCGCCTCTTCCTCTGTCTGCCAACCCCACATGATTTGAGTTGTTCCCCTCTGGAAGCAGGCGCTGTAAATCCTGGATCCTCCATCCCCAGGGCTGGGTGCCGAGGAGCTGTCTGATGCTTCCCAGCCACGCTGATGCTGCTCTGCCAGAAGAGAGATGGGGAAAAGATACTTCTGTGACTACTGTGACAGGTCCTTCCAGGACAACCTTCACAACAGGAAGAAGCATCTCAATGGAGTGCAGCATCTCAGGGCTAAGAGAGCCTGGTATGACTTATTCCGAGGTGGGTACCAACTGCCACTCTCTTTCTGGGACTGGGGAGGTGATAGATGGGGGGACAGATGAAATAAATCTGCACTGAAGATTTATATTCAGGTTGTCTGTTCCAGTGAATCACAGAATCACATGTTGGCTTGGGTTGAAGGGATCTTAAAGCTCATCCAGTCCCAACCCCTGCCACAGGCAGGGACCCCTTCCACTAGAGCAGCTTGCTCCAAGCCCCTGTGTCCAACCTGGCCTTGAACACTGCCAGGGATGGGGCAGCCACAGCTTCTCTGGGCACCCTGTGCCAGCGCCTCAGCACCCTCACAGGGAAGAGCTTTTGCCTAAGAGCTCAGCTCAGTCTCCCCTCTGGCAGGTTCAAGCCATTCCCCTTGGCCTGTCCCTACAGGCCCTTGTCCCAAGCCCCTCTCCAGCTTTCCTGCAGCTCCTTTAGGCACTGGAGCTGCTCTAAGGTCTCTCCTTAAGGAGCTGAACCAGCCCAGCTCTGGTTTGTGGACTTGATACTGCTGTTGCCAAGCAATCTCAGAGGCAAAGCCTCATGTGTCTGGATGTGGGAAGGGGAAATTGTAGAGATCAGCTTGAGATGAGCTGGAAGAGACAGGGAGGGTGTTTCTGAGAACAGACGCTGCAGATAAAGCTCTTGGCATCATGAGCAAACCTGTGACAGGAGACCCAAGAGAGCAAGTGAGCTACAGTTCCTGGAGGTGAGTCAGGTGCCTTCTGCAAGCCACAGTCAGTCTCTGATGTGTGAGGAGTAAGGAATATGGGTGTTTATATGGAGAAAGCAGGTGGAGATGAGGGTTCTGAGGGTGGCTGTGGGAGAGGCTGAGTGTGCGACTGCTTGGCTGGAGACCTCAGAAGGGTGAAAGGACTGAGCAGCACTGGTATGTTCAAACCTATCTCAGCCAAGGGGGCGGGCAGAGGAGGAGGACTGAGTGCACTGAGGTTTGGCACAGGAGGAACTGAAGATCTGGGGCTGGAGGCTGTATCAGGACATGCTGGAGGAACATCCAGTGTCCTCTGCCTGTTTAACTGTCCTCACCCAGCTTTATGCTTGGACCTGACTCACCACATAGTTACCTTAGTGCCAGCCTGAGGAATATGGTGGATATGTGTGCCCAGTGTCAGAGAGAGCAGGACTGTGTCTTTGGCAAAGGCTGACTGTGAAACCATTGCCTGGATGTTCTTCTGCTCCCTCCTGGTTCCTCAGCATCAGGAGTTGCAGGCTCTTTGGCTCCTGGCTAGCTAGGTGAGGAATGCCCTGAGCTCTGGGTGGCTCTGCTGTCTGCTTAACCCCATGTGGAAGTTGGAAGGGTTCTCTGGAATGGCCAAGTGTGGAGGACCAACAGCCCCAGCCCAGTTCTGGCTGGGTCAGTGGTGATGAGGCACATTACCTAGTACTTGTCTTCTCACCAGACTGCAGCCCTTGGGTTTCCTCTGATTGATAAAATACCTCATCCCATCCCTGATTAGGGGATTCCTCTCCTCTCATCTCCAGACTCTGTGGCCTGGCATCAGCCAGTGCAAGTTCTTCCATGGAGTCTGTGGGAGCTGCTGTGTCTTCTAGGCTCATTTTCCCCAGGGATGTCTCCAGCAGGTGAAGGACCATGGTGTCCACTGGAGCCTCAGCACAGGGTCCTCCAAGGGCTCTTCTTGAGAGCTTGGTGAATCTCTTTCTGTGCTGCAGAGTTCTTCCTTTTCTGTCATGCTGCTTTTCCCTACAGAGCATGAAGCAGAGAGCAAAGAAGGTGGTGTTTGAAAAGCTGAAGCCAGGGGTGCAAACAGGGACTGCTAAGTGTTAGTTTGTCTGGTTTGAGTTCCTGGTTGTCATACAAAACAGCTTCTCATTGAGCTGTCTTGGACCACGACAGGATGGGGTATTCTGGGCAAGAGATCTTTACCCTGGTTTGTTCTTTGTCTCCCCTAGATGCTGCTGCTATCCTGCAAGAGGAGCAAACCAAGAAGCCTTGTCGGAAGTTTCTGCAAACAGGTGAGTTCTTGGGAGGTAGAAATAACCTTGTGAGCTCCAGCAGCTCCTTCCTGAGCCAGCCCATGGCTGTTCTGGGGAGCCCTGGTGGGGGGGGGGGTGTGTGTGTCTTGAAGGGAGGGAAGGGGGGCTGTGTGCCTGGCATGTGGGTGTAACAAGGAGGGAAGACCCTGTGTGTCTTTCCTTCCAGGACAGTGTGACTTTGGGTCCAGCTGCAGGTTTTCCCACATGACAGAGCAGGACCTGGAGAAGCTGAGTGCCCAGGTTCAAGGTAAGTCCTCAAACTCAGGGGGCTGTGAGGAGGAGGAGCTGCTGTGGGGTCTGTGGGTGGCAGAGGGGCACGTGAGGAGCCTGTGGTGGATCCCTCCTGCCTGCCTCCCAGTGCTGTGTGAGCCTGGAGCGTGGCTGGCAGTGCTGCGGGTTTCATGTGCTTTCTGCTCTTGATCTGCTGGCACAGGCACAAACCTGGGGCTGAGCAATGCTGTCACTGCTCAGCAGGCAGATGAAGCAGAGTGGGCTTTCTGAGCCCTCGGGGGTTTGTTCAGTCAGGGAATAAAACCTGCCAGCAGCAGAGGGCACTGGTACATCACTTCCCCTTCAGTTTATGGATTTCATTTCCCCCACCTCTCCACTGTTACCAGGGAGCTGCTGCTTCTGCTCTTGGGAAGAGCCTGCTGTCACTTGGGTTGTCCTGAGGAGAGGACATGGGGTCTTGGGTCCAGAAATGACCTCTGCTCCTGTGGCTTTGGGTGGAATTGAAGTTTGTGCAGAGGATGAATGGCAGCTGCTCCCCTGCTGGGAGACTCCAGAGCACTCCTGAACTTCTTCATTCTGGGAGTGCCACCTCCTTGCCCTAAAAGGGGTGGCAGCTCTCTCTTCTCTAGAGGGTTCATTGCTTTGGTGGTTAGAAATGTGAGGTGTTGGTGAGAGCTTGTAGAACAGTTGAGATCTCCACTGGAGATCATCTAGTCCCAGCCCAACCTTGCTCAAAGCAGGGACTCCCTGTGGTACTGGAGAACCCAGCACTGGACACAGCACCCAGATATGAGCTCACCAGTGTGGAGCAGAGAGGAAGGATCACTTCCACGACCTGCTGGCAATGGTCTTCCTAATGCAGCCCAGCTTCTGAGCAGCCCTTGTGCCCACACTGTCTGCTGAAGCAAACCTGTTTTGCCAATAGTCTGACAAAACCAGGCTTAAGTGCTGAAAGTGTGTGTGTGCATTGTGCAGACATAGGAGATTTCACAGAATCAACCAGGCTGGAAAAGCCCTTTAAGCTCATCCAGTCCAACCATTCCCCAGCAGTGCCAAGGCCACCACTGCCCCATGGCACTGAGGCCTCGTCTCCACGGGGTGTGAACACTTGCAGGGACGGTGACTGCAGCCCTGCCCTGGGCAGCCTGTTCCAGTGCCTGAGCACCCTCTGGGGCAGGAATTGTTCCTCAGCTCCATCTAAACCTGCCCTGGTGCAGCTTGAGGCCGTTTCCTCTTGTCCCATCCCTTGTTCCTTGGGAGCAGAGCCCAGCCCCTCCTGGCTCCATCCTCCTGTCAGGCACTTGTAGGGAGCCATCAGGTCCCCCCTGAGCCTTCTCTTCTCCACACTGAACCCCCCAGGTCCCTCAGCCCTTCCCCATCACACTTGGGCTCCAGGCCCTGCACCAGCTCCAGTGCCCTTCTCTGGCCCTGCTCCAGCACCTCAAGGTCTCTCCTGGAGTGAAGGGCCCAGACCTGAACACAGGATTTGAGGTGCAGCCTCACCAGTGCCCAGTGCAGGGGCACAATCCCTGCCCTGGCCCTGCTGCCGCACTGCTGCTGATCCAGGCCAGGATGCTGGTGGCTTCCTGGCTGCCTGGGCACAAGCTGCTCATGTTCAGCTCCATCAATCAGCATCCCCATGAGCAGTTTCCAGCTGCGCTTCCTCAAGCCTGGGGTTGTTGTGGCCCAAGTGCAGGACCAGCACTGAGCCTTGTTGAACCTCATCTCATGGATCCAGCCTGTCCAGATCCTCTGCAGAGCCTCCTGCCCTCCAGTAGGCCAACTTGGTGTCATCTTCAGGTTTACTGAGGGTGCACTCAGTGGGGCAGAGCCTCTCTCCTGGCTCTGGGGAGCAGGAGGAAGGCAAACACTACAGAGCTCTTCCTGTTCTCCCCGCTGCTGAGTCAGTCTGTGAGTCCCTGAGGCGACTCTGTGAATCAGCCATTGAACAGCACTGGCACTCAATAAACCCCATCCCACCGGGCTGCATGGGAGCTTCCCAGCCAGAGCTTCCCAACTGGAGCTTCCCAGCCAGCCCTCCCCAGAGCAGCAGTGCTGGGCTGTCAGGCACACTCCTTGTCCCTGCTGCTGGCCCCAAACCTTCCCCTGTGCCATGGGGTTTAAGTGCTGGGCTCCAGAGGTGGCTCAGGCCATCAGCCTGTTTGCAGGAGCCTGCAGCATTCCCAGGCATTGAGAGCTGCTCATTGCAGGGAGGTGGAAGCTCTCTGGAGCAGAGCAGAGCTGAGCTGCAGAGGGAGGCTGGCGAGTGCCCTGTGCTCAGGCAGGTTTCTGTGCCAGTGACACTTGTTAATGAACAGTGACTGTGTCAGACAGTGTAAGTGGAGAGTTGGCTCGTGAGAGCTGGTGCCTGGCTCCTGCTTGGAGCCCCTGCATTGGTATTGCCAAGTCAAACATTCCATTAAACGATTAGGCTATCAGGAGTGATGGTCAGGGGACAGCAGGGTGCCTTGGCCTTGGCTCTGCCTCTCTAACCTCAGTGCCTGGCTGTAGAGTTAAATCCTGCTCACGTCTTGTGGCATTGCTCTGTGGAAGTCCCGTGTGAGCCAAGTGCAGGCTGAGCAGCACACACACCTCAAAATCCAACCAGCTGAGCCTGCAGGGAGCTTGGGCAGGGATTTCATGGAGAGAAGGGCTCAGCAGGACTTGGTGGGGAAAAGCCCATCGTAAGGTAGACTGAACGGAAGAACCACCTTCAAAAGCCAAGCTGTCATTCTGTGTCGTGGGGACATCTCACCACTCTTTAGGCTGCTGAACATCAGTGTCTCAGATGGTGAGGCTTAGGGCAGAGGTGAGCAGCCCAGAAACCAACCGTGACCTGGGCTGCACCCCCAGAGTGTGAGCAGCAGCTCAGGGAGGGGATCCTGCCTCTCTGCTGTGCTCTGGGGAGACCCCCCTGCAGCCCTGATCCAGCTCTGGGGCAGCAGCACAAGAGAGACGTGGAGCTGTTGGAGTGAGTGCAGAGGAGGCCATGGGGATGCTGCGAGGGCTGGAGCAGCTCTGCTCTGGAGCCAGGCTGAGAGAGCTGGGCTGGGGCAGCCTGGAGAAGAGAAGGCTCCTGAAGGGGAGACCTGAGAGCAGCTCCAGTGCCTAAAGGGGCTGCAGGAAAGCTGGAGAGGGGCTCCCCTGTCTGAACACACCACATCCGGGAGGTTGTGACAGGCTTGCAGCCTGGGGTGGTTGGGGATTCGAGATGAGCTGAGAGGCTGGAAGCTCCAGAGCCGCTCACCATGTTGTGCAGAGCCTTGTGTGACCATGCTGGAGACGACCATGCTCTGCCTCTCGTGGGTTAACAGTGGCTGGTCTCTTGGTGGGTCCACAGTGGTGCTTACCTCTGCTTTCCTCAGCTCTGGTGCACGGGTGCAGAGCAGAGGAGCTGTCAGACTGCACTGAACCCATGTCCAGGGGCTGATGCTCCAGATGAAGGTGGAAGGAAACCCTGTAGTGAAGTGGTGTAGGCACTTCTGGCTTTTTAAACACTGCTAAACCATGGTGGCTCTTTCTTTGTCATGTAAATACTGACCCTGTCCCTGACCCCCTGTCAAGTGCTGGGTATTGGTAGGGCTGTGTGAGCTCCACTTGCTAATGATGCATTTCTGTTATTACAAAGGAAATGTTGTGTTATCCGTCATTCACCCTGTTGTTTGGGTTAATCCTGTGGGTTAAGCAGGGAAATTTCTGGCTGCAGTTCTCTGACAGCTTCAAGTTTGGCTGCAGCCTTTCTGCACTCTGGAGAATATACTCCTCAAGAAGCAACAGTTTACACCTTTGGCAGGGAGGGAGGGATATTCCCAGCTCTTACTACATCAGAGCATCAGCCTTCTTCATCCCCTGCATCATTCAGCAGCGAGACACTTCCAGGCTGTCATTTTAAGTGCAGTCATGTCAAGAAAAGTCACTGTCAAATTCCATCTTCTTGCCTCAAGTTATTGGCTCCATGCTAACCCTGTCACTTCTGCTGGGAGCACTGGCACATCCCAGCCTCTTTGGTGAGCTCCAGCTTGAGAGAGGAGAGGCACCTGCAGCTGGGTGAGTGCAGTAGCTCCTGTGATGGACAGAATAGGAGTGATCCTGCTGTGGGTGGCTGTGGTCACCAGTTTAACTTGGTGACAGGCAGCTCTGCTGCTTCTTGGCTATGGGGTGAAGTCTTACTTAAGCTGCTCATTGTTGCAGGGCCTCATCATGCTCATCTCTCTGCTGCTGTTCATGTCTCTGGAGGAGTTTGGGCTGCCACATCTCCCACCCCAGGGAGGGACCCGAGGGGTTGTATGTAGATCTCTGCTGGGGGGCCTGCTCAGTGGCAGTGGTTGTATCTCACATAGTGGTGCGTTGTTCAGGAAGAAACCTCATGCAAAAAGTTGCATGAGAAGAGAAGATAAATCTGGACTCCCACTCTGGCATCATTAGAGAGGTGCTTCTTGACTCCAGATGCTCTTTTAATTGGCTGTAATTAGACCTTGAAGCAAATAGCCCAGGAGGAAGGAGGGTGGAAGCACCTTCACACCTCTTGCTGCTGCAGTCTGCCTGGCTGCACAACCACTGACAAGGAGTGAGGGTTGGAATTCTTTTTCAGGGTTACATCTTGGAATTGGTGTTAGTATTCAGGGGGTGTTTCCAACCTCCTGGTGGTTTTTGGTGCTTCCTGGGTGGGCCATGTGTGCTTCAGAGGAAAAGGAGACCAAAGACAGATCCAGACAGTTGCCTGTACCTGCTGCCTGATTTCTCAGCCTGAGGTTTGGAGCACTTTGGAGCAGTAACTCCTGGAGCTGGGTAGATGGGGAGCCAGCTGAATGTGTTCCTAACCTGGGCCAGCCTGGAGTCATTCCACTGCAGCCAGAGTGAGCTTGTCTGGATGAGACAGTGAGTTGCAGCTGCTCCCACCAGGCCCTGGTGTGGCACTTTGGGGCAGTGGCCTTGGAGCTCCCTGCTCTAAAGAGAGGCTGTGCCAGTTTCTGGTCTGATCTGTGTTGGATGAAAAGGAAATCTTAGTGGCACATAGAGGTGGGAGAGGTTTCTCTCTCTGATTTCTCCTCCCTCCCTCATCGAAGCCTCTCACAACTGCTGCTTGTCCCCTTGCTGAGGTGGGATGTGCCCAGGTCCTCACTGCATGGAGAAACCTGGAACAGAGGGAAGTAGGGTGGCTGTGATCAGGGTTGCCAGAGAAGTCTAACTGGGAGCTGAACTTAGTGCCCAGCTCACCAGACTGAGCCTCCCCAGTGCCCTCACCACAACCCAGGCTCCTGCCTTGACCCCAAACAGCTCTGCTGGGGCTTTGGTCTTTGGGAACAACTGTAGGAGATTTGAACAGTGTCCTTATCTCCGGGTTGCAGAGCAGCACCTTGCCACCAGCCCCGTGGCAGGCTGGCTGTGTGGTGGCAGGGAGTGCACTGTCACCCCCCCCAGCAGCAGCAGATGAACAGGCTGGATGACAAATGATCCATCTCCGGCTGCTCATTGTGCAGCACATTTCTGCCATCCCTATTAATATTCAACAGGCAGATGAATAATTGGTTGCCACCACGAGGATGAAGTGATCCTTCACTCTGCCCAAGCAATATTCATTTCACACCCTGTCTGGAAACCTATAATATTTTCCTTAAACGTGTGACATATGGTGCTGTGTGTGGAGCAGGCTCCTGGTGGGCAGGGCTGTGGGTGGCTGCGCTGGGTTCACCTCAGAATGGGACCAGGGCTCCTCCAGAGTGCTTGTCCATGGAGGGTTTGGGGAGCAGCGTGGAGGGGAATGACACCAACTGCCTCTGCTCCCTTTTATTAATACCAGTGATTGGCTTTCAGAGTATCATGTCCTCTTTACTGTGAGGTGGGAACTTTCCACTGGGCTGGAGGTCCAATAGCTCTGAGCATTCTTCAGCCCCAGCATGCTGTCAGGAGTGTGGCTGTGTCAAGGACTCGTGCTAGACCCTGCTCGCATCCCTTCCTGCCTTGTCACTGGTGAATGCCCCGTCCCTGGCAGTGTTCAAGGCCAGGTTGGACACAGGGGCTTGGAGCAAGCTGCTCTAGTGGAAGGTGTCCCTGCCCGTGGCAGGGGTTGGAGCTGGAGGAGCTTTAAGGTCCCTTCCAACCCAAACCAGGCTGGGATTCTGGCTGAGGGGGGGACTGGGGAGCTTTGCTAACTGTGCAGCTGTGGGTTTCTGCCCAGTGGGAGGGACTGGGGAGTGCTGGGCTGCCCCACTGGCTCTGTGCTGTCCTTCCCGGAGGAGACAGTGCTGCAGGACAGGGTGCCTGCGGGCATCCATCCCTCACAAGCTCCCCAGGGCAATGGAGGATTTGAAAGCAGCTCGCACTGCTCGCTCTGCTGGTAGACAGCAGAGGTTTCCTGCTGCTCTCCTTGCTCACAGGAGAAAACAGGAACTTGTTCCCCTCCTTCTGCCATGCTCTGCCGTGACTGTGCACATCAGCTGAGCAGGGCTGGTGACAGGCTCCTGCCCTGGCTCTGCATGAGCCTTGAACAGAGCTGACAGCTGTGTGCCACCCCACACCACGCACCCACCGCTGCCCAGCCTGCACCCATCCTGACACGTCCCTCTCACTGCCACCCAGCCGGGCAGAGGGTCCTGCCTCTTGGAGGGACACGGCTTTGGAAAGGGCTCAGGGCCAGCGGAGCCTGCGCCAAGCAAGGCTGAGGCTGATGCACCCCGGGGGTGTCAGACTCCCCTCCGCTCAGTGCCGCCGCGCTCGCTGGCTCCGTCGTGCCTGGCTCTGGCTGGCTGGAGCTGTCACCAGTGAGGAGGCCAAGCATCAGATGGTGACAGGGGCTGCCACAGGCAAACTGCAAGCTCTCCACTGTAGGAGAGTCTGCGGGGTAATGAGCAGTGGGTTAATGGAGTGAAAGGACTGCAGCAGGAGTGTTTGACAGCCTCTGTCTCTCAACCAGGGGAGCAGAGATCGAAGGAGCTGCAGCAGGAGGGAGCAGATGTCCCGCCTGGCACCATTGAGGACTGGCTGGAGAAGAGAGCAAAGAGACTGAGCATGGCACAGAGCAACAGGTACGAGCTGGCTGCTGCTTCTGGCCCTCGCAGGGCACAGGGGGATAGGAGGAGGTGCAGGTGGTCGGAGGTCCCAGCTCAATGGGACCCCCTGAGCTCTCATTTCACACTCACCCTGCCAGCACTGCGTGCCTGCTCTCAGAACATGCTACAAACACACACACGGCTCCAGTGTTGCGTGCCCACATCAGAGATGTGTCTCCCCATGCAGCCGGGGCACAAGCCAGGCCTGGCTGCCTGTGCCTGCTGCCCTGGGGAAGCAGAGCACGTAGCAGTGTCTGGCAGGACAGTGCCACCGTGGTGCTGAGTTATTAATGCACAGAGTTCAGTGGTAGGAGCCCGTCTCATCTGTTGACAGCTTCTCCATCTTCCCCTGCCCTGTCTGCACATCCCTGCCAGGGAGAGGCTGGAATTAGCTCCTCCTCGCGGCATTCGCTGGGATTCGGGTCCTGCTGTTCCCTTGCTCACCTGACTGTGCCGCAGGCTGAATTGGATGACATTTGGGCAGGTGCCAGATCTCTCTTTTGTTCTTTATCTGTTTGCTCCTGTCCTCTCCTCTGTTTGGTCTGGGCAAGAGCTTCCTTCTGGTGCCTGTCTGGGCTTGTTGCTTTCTGTTCTCTCCATCAGCTTGGCTGCTCATGGGCAGCCAGAACCCTACACTTCGCTTGCTGCATTTTGCTTGTCCTGCCCATGAATCCCTTGATCTCAGGGTAGATCACCTCTTACAGAAGATGGTCATTCCCATAGGAATTTCCAGACCTTCATATCTACTTGGTCCCTGCTGCCTCCAAAGCTGCACAAGAGCTGAGTTTCTGAGGCTGTTGCTTTCAGAAGCGACCAGCTACTACAGGAGCTAAACACCAGCTACTCAAAGCTTCTGCTCCTCTATCCAGCTTTGCCAGCACCTGTCCCTCTCATTCCTCTTCTTCCCTGTGCTCTCCAGTCCCAGCATTGCCTTTACAAGCAACTCCTGTGTGTTGCTTTGTCTGCCAGAGAAGTTGTGTTACATTGCCAAGGAAGAGGCCTCTTCTAGGCAATCCCTGTGCTCCCGGTGCCTGGGGAGTCCATATTCCACAGCTGCTGCTGTGTTAAGCCTCAGCCTGTGAGTGTAGCTGAGTTTCTGTCTCTGCCTTGCCAGGGGCTTACTGGCAGGATAGCTGGCAGGAAGTCATGGATGGAGCTGCTGCCAAATTCAGCACAGCACCAAGGAAACGCTGTGCTGCACCAGAAGTGGCCGAGTGGCCAGGTACAGCCTTGATGCTGCAGGGCTTTCTTAAAGACAGTCATCTGGGGGGCATGGAGCTGCTGCGAGGGCTGGAGCAGCTCTGCTCTGGAGCCAGGCTGGGAGAGCTGGGCTGGGGCAGCCTGGAGAAGAGAAGGCTCCTGAAGGGGAGACCTGAGAGCAGCTCCAGTGCCTAAAGGGGCTGCAGGGAACCTGGAGAGGGGCTTGGGACATGGGGTGTAGGGGTAGGACAAAGGGAATGGCTTTAACCTGCCAGAGGGGAGACTGAGCTGAGCTGTTAGGCAGAAGCTCTTCCCTGTGAGGGTGCTGAGGCGCTGGCACAGGGTGCCTTCCTCCCATTGTTCCTGCAGCCTGGGTGGCCTCAAGGGGACAATCTTCACTTGGAAGCCTCCACCTCAGGTGTATTTTCAGTCCCACTGTGCCCTTGCTGTCTGCAGAGCTGCGGTGGAGCTGAGTGGAGTCAGGGGGATTCCCTCAGGGGTGGAGCTCTGCCAGGACATTGTTGATTTCTAACCCGGTTCCCAAAGGGAATGGAGCCTGTCAGTGCACCTGAGTGTGGCTTCTGCCATAGCTGCCATGGGGCACACTTGCTGAGTTCCATCAGAAGGGGGTCTGAGATACTACAGGTTACATGACCAGGGAAGTGAGTAGAGGAGAGGGATCCCATTAATATCTTTGGAAAGGAAACATTCTTGACCCTTGCTAGACACCAGGGAATCCACATGGGACAGCCATTCCCAATGCTGCAGCTGTAGGCAAACCTTTGGTAGCACTTGAATCTTATGAGACCCCAGGGAATTGAGTACCCAGACAGCATCCTCCCTATTGATCAGTCCTGCTGCTCACACAACAGCTCATTACTTGATAGCTCTGCTGTTCCCCTTGCGGTGTGCCTCATCCTGCTCCCCACCACACTGCTGCTGCAGGGCTCCTCCTGCCCGAGAGGGGCTTGGCTTGGGTCCTGGCACCCTGGTCTCTTCCTCAGCCCGGAAAACTCCCCGTCAAGGGGATAAGGATTACAACAAACGACTTGGCTCCGTGTTAGCTGCCTAGAAAACACTGCACTCAACTTGTGCAGCTGGCTCCTGGCCACGTCGCCCGCCCTGCAGGGAGAGGAGGGTGCTGCTTCTCCAGAGCGTTACGTAAAGGAGATTCATGAGGTTTCTCCTGGCATAACAATTAAAAAGATTCATCAGGATCAGAGGCAGAGGCCTGGGAAGCTGGAAGGCCGCTGTCAGGGCTTGTCCTGAGGAGCAGATGAGTTCCCTGCGCTCAGGAATTAATGGAAAAGCTGTGTTTGCCATGAATTTAAACCTGCCCCAGCCAAGCTCGCTCTTCAGCCGGAGACAAGGGAGTGATGCTCCTTGCTTTGCACTTCTTCAGTCAGGTGTGTTGTTTGCAGTGGCCTCATCCAGTAAACCTGAGAGAAGGACCTAAAGCATTTTGCAGGCTGTGAGCTGGAGGAGGGAGCCTCTTCCCTCTGCTGAAGGGTGCTTCTGTGCAAACACCCATCGCTTTGGCAGCTTCTCCGCTTCCGAGCGCTCCTTGTCCTTTGGGAAGCGCACAGCTGGCTTTGGGATGCAGCCTGCTCGGAAAGGAGCATCTGGTGCTGTCTGTTCTCCTCGAACCCAGCTGTGTGAGGAGAGCTGGGGGCAGGAGGGGACAGGGAGCCCCAGGGCTGGGGCTGGCAGGGGGTACAGGGAAGCTCAGCCCCAAAGCAGGGCCCTGCTGCCCAGTGAGCCCCTCTCACCTCTGCCCCTTCCTTCCACCTCCCCAGTGCTCTGCCTGAGAAACCAGCTCCCTTCCAGTACCCACCGGGCTGGCCACCGGTGCAGGAGCTGCCACCGTCCCTGCAGCCCCCCCCGCCCGGAGGGTGGCCTGTGCCCCCCAGCCTGCAGTGGGGCTGAGGCGCAGGGACCCCACAGAGGATGTGCTGGAGATGGAATCCTTCCTCCTCACCTGCCCTGGGAAAGGCTGGGATTATTTATATACACTTTTCCATCAATAAACCCCCCCCCCGTTGCAGCCTGTGTGTGGTGTGGTGTGTCATTGCTCACCTGCAGCCCCCCACGGTTGTCTCCCTGTCACTGGCACCAGGGTCTGTGCTCAGCAGAGCTGCAGCCCTGTGCCAGGGGCTCTCTGCCGTGCTCAGAGTGGACATTCCATGTTTGCCAGGGCAGGATGTGCCCCCTCAGGGCGCTGCTGTCTGCGCTGCGTCCTGCACTGCTCCAGGGCTGATCCAGGCCAGGAAGGAAGCTGTAACCAGGCTTTTTAAAGCGATGTTTAATGTTTCCTGCAGTGTTTATGACCTGGGTTTGCTGCTGTGGAGTTCAGTGTGTAAAACTGCTTCGGTTCAGGTGCTGGAGCTCCTAATGAAGAGCTTAGGGAGCTCCCAAAAGCCCTCTGCTCCCACTCCTGCGATGCTGAAGGTAAAAAGCAAGAAGGAAGAAAAGCCTCAAGGTTTCTCCTTCTCCAGGAAACTGAGTGAACTGTGAGCGTCCACAGGGAAAATACCCCCATGGGTCACTCCCCACTGTGGGAGCTGGGAAGGGGTGAGGAGGGACCACAGCCCCCTGCTTGCGGTGGGGCTGCACTGGGAGCTGAGGACAGGCAGGGGACAGGCTGCCCTGGGGAGGGTGCTTTTAGGGTGCTTTTAGGGGCAGGTTTGGATTGGCCAAGCCCAGCCAGAGCCAGGCTGAGCCCGGCCATGTGGCTGCTGCAGTGGGAGCTTTGCAGAGTCCTCTGTGAAGATGTAAAGAGGAGGGCATGGAGGTATTGTGAGGGCTGGAGCAGCTCTGCTCTGGAGCCAGGCTGAGAGAGCTGGGCTGGGTCAGCCTGGAGAAGAGAAGGCTCCTGAAGGGGAGACCTGAGAGCAGCTCCAGTGCCTGAACGGGCTGCAGGAAAGCTGGAGAGGGGCTTGGGACAAGGGATGTAGGGACAGGCCAAGGGGAATGGCTTTAACCTGCCAGAGGGGAGACTGAGCTGAGCTCTTAGGCAGAAGCTCTTCCCTGTGAGGGTGCTGAGGCGCTGGCACAGGGTGCCCAGAGAAGCTGTGGCTGCCCCATCCCTGGCAGTGTTCAAGGCCAGGTTGGACACAGGGGCTTGGAGCAAGCTGCTCTAGTGGAAGGTGTCCCTGCCTGTGGCAGGGGTTGGAGCTGGAGGAGCTTTAAGGTCCCTTCAACCCAAACCAGGCTGGATTCTGTGATCTCTCCTCCCTGGGAAAGGGGAGGCTGAAGGAGGCCCTGGGCTGCCCTGTCTCCGGAGCCTGCTCTGGCTTCGTGCAGAGCTGTGGGGATGCTGGCAGCAGCCTCCCCAGGGAGCAGCTCTGCTCCCGCTGCCAGAGCATTCCAGGTTTGGCCGTGCCCGGAGGCGGCAGCTCCAGATTCATGAAGAGCAGAGGCAGGAGCCAGCTGCCCTTGGCCCCATCCCGCCTGGTTCCCGCTGGTACCCGGCTGCCGGGCTCGGGGCAGTGCTCCCACCAGGGGCTGTGCGCGGAGATGCTCCCTGGGATCCATCCCGTGCCGCTCCAACAGGGAGGTGACCCTGGCATGGCTGGCGTGGAGCTGTGAGCACTGCTGCAGCAGGGGTCCAGCCTTCACCGGGGCTGCTGGAGCTTTCAGCCGAGCTTAAGGGTGGTTTTATCCCTGCACGTGTGACTGGGGCCGCTCTGTGCTTGCTTCCCTTTGGAGAGCAGAGCTTGGGCTCGGAGGATGCAGCGTCAGCCCCGTGCCCCATCCTCACCTCCGTGACAAGAGCTGGTAAATGAGCACCCGTGTGCACCTATTTGGGCGTAAAACGGGAGTCCCCAGAGGAAGGGGACCGTGCCCTGGGTGCAGGGGTTGTGGTGGGGGGAAGAAACCCCATAGGGGCTGCAGGATGCTCCGGAGCATTGGGAGCTGCTGGCTCTGCTCCCAGCCATCAGGAGCAGCTTTGGCTGCTCTCTCCTGCCTTGATGTGCGTCGCAGTGCAGGGGAGAGCCCCGGGGGGGCTCCCTGCCTGCCGGGGGTGGCAAACGGCTCCGCTGCCACTCTGAGTCACGGCGCATCCCGAAGGATGGAGGCGAAGCCGACGTTCCCCCATCTCCCAGGGACGGGAGATGGCAAAGCGTGTGCTGCTCTGCCGGCCTCAGAACGCCTCCCAGTCCTTCGCCTGTGCTTGGAGACCATCACCCCGCAGCCGGGCTCCATGCGCTGCGCTCGCAGTGTGGTTGGAGCACCCCAGGACGCGCGGCTGCTCGGGGAGGTGCTGCTTCACCCAGCACTCACAGCTCCAAAGCTGCTCCCAAATCCAGCTTGGACGTGGGAGAGGAGCCCACGTCCGGCGGAGCAGGCGGGAGCACCCGGGCGAGCTGCAAGCCCCAACCTCGGGTGGAACCCACAGGGAATGCCGGTGATGCGGAGCCTCCGGATCCAGCTGCATGTGGAGCATCCCCTGCCAAGCCCCGGGCTGAGGGGGGCGGCCAAGGGGGGGAATGGCCTTTGGGGTTCCTGTAAGAGCTTCCCTGAGCTCCAGGCACCGGGGCCGAGCCTCACGTCTCTCGCAGGGGTGTTTTGTGCTCCGGGAGCCGCGTAACTCCCAGGTACTTGAGGAGCCCGTAAATCCCGGGTTTTATGGGATGTATTTTACGGCGTGGTGTCAGCAGCCGTAATGACGGTGTGTATCACCGCCGGCGCGGGATGCAGCCGGGGCGGGGAGAGCAGGCCCTTTGCAGAGAGCCGGGAGGGTACCGCAGGAGCAGGACAAGGCGCTCGGCTCCCTCCGTGCTCCCGCATGGCGCCGGGAGCAGCTGGTACCCGGCTCCCAAAGGATGCTGCAGGGATGGACGTGCTCTGCATCCCCGCAGGTCCCGGCGGCCGGGGTGGGCGGTGGGGAGCCGGCCCCAGCCCAAAGTGCCCTTTATAGAGCCAGAGCCTGGGTAATTTATCGGGAAGCTTTTAGGGAAATGAGCAGCTCCTGGGCCCCTGCCAAGGCGCAGCCTCACCGGGCGCTGCCCGCGTCCTCTGGCAGCTCTTGGGGAACAGGGCTGGGGATGGGAATGGGGACGGGATGAAGGGAGACAGGGATGGGGACGGGATGGGAAGGGGGATGGAAATGGGAACTGGGAAGGGGACAGGGCAGGGACACACGTAAGGACAGGGATGGGAGTAAGGATGGGAATGGAGACAGGGATGGAGATGGGCACAGGGATGAGGACGGGGCAGGGATGGAGCAGAGACCATCCCACACCACTTGCAGCACCAGAGCGAGAGAGCACCTTTTCCATCTTCCTCCCTTCCCATCCCAAACCCCGGCGCAGTGCCAACCCCATCCCTGCAACCCCCCATCCCTGCATTTGCTGCCTGGTTCCCCCTGCCCCACACAGGGTCCTTTTCTCCTTCCCACTTCCCACCTCCCACAGCGCCTTCCCTCATCCCAGCACAGCAATCACATTGCAAGAGTCTCTATATTCCCATTCCCAGCGATCCTTTACCTCCCTTAGCGAGGAGCAGCCCCAATGATCCATCCCCAGCCATGGCAGAGCCGTGCGAGGGACAGCGGGGCAGGAACCTCCCCGTGCTCCTGCATCGGGAGCTGCCATCTCCAACCCTGCCAGAATTCCCTGCTCCCAGTTCCTATTGAAACTGAGCAGCTTTGGAAACCGAGCTCTGGAATCACATTGTTCCTTTGATCCATTTTTATGTGATTGCATTTCCCAGCAATTCAGTTGTCCTCTTTCCCTTTGTGCCCCCTTTGTGTTTATTCACTGCACCTATGACAAACCTGGTTAAATACATGTATATATATATATATATATACACCCAGAAACACATCTCAAGGCCTCTTCCTTTGGGAATGCCACCCCATAAACCCCCAACACTTTGCCTATGGAGATGGATAAAGCCCCATTCCAGGTGTGGGTCACCCCCTTCCCCCGCGAGGCAGCCGCAGTGATTCCATTGCCGCGCTGCACTTCCCATTCCCATTCCCATTCCTCACTTGGACGCTCACTTCAATTTGTTTGATAAATTACACGGATCAAGAGCAAACCCAACCCCGGATCAATGGAACGCAGCCCATTCCTCCCGGCATCCCAAACACGGGGTGTCCCCCCCCTTGCTGCCGGGGAGGCGCATCCCAAGGGTGGGAGATCCCATGCAGGCACGAGGAAATGTGTTTTCCCCTTGGATAGGGGTCAAACAGGGCTCCCGGGGGGAGGTGCCCCAGCCCTGATGCCCCGGGGATGGGCTCCTCCAGCCTCATTCCTCACGGAGAGGGGGCAGCACCTTTGCCGGATGCTCTCCCGGCACCGCGAGCTTCCCCCTCATTGTATTCATTGGTTGAGTCTATCTGCCATTAAAAACGCATCCCCCGGGATGGGATCCATGAACGGGGCAGCTCCATTGCCACGGGCTTTGCACCAGCATGGGACCAGAGCCCACCCAGGAGCCGTGGGGTGCTCCCCCCCCCCCGTGCCAGGATCCCCATCTGACCCCCTGGAGCCTCCAGCCACAGGCTGGATCCTGCTCCCCCCGGATCTGCCGTTAGTCTGGGTGAAAACGCTCCCCATGGAGGCCCTTTGGAAGGAGAATGGCCTTAAACCATTCCACAAATGCCGACATGGAATATCAGGGCATGGGGATGGGGAGAGGGGAATAAATCCACTCAGAGCTCCCAATGACCCACAGCAGGACCCACATCCGGACAGGGATGGGGGACATGGGAGCAGCCAGGAAGGAACCCCAGCTTTGGGGCTGCTGGAGGGCTCCGGAACCGCCCCCCATTGCCACCTCCCAGCTCAGCAGCACCCATGGGTGCCCTCCCAGCAGCAGCACCCATCGCCCTGCCCCATCGCATCGCCAGGAGCCGCAGCAGCCCAGAGCGCTTCAGAAATCCCACGTTTATTTCCGATCCGAACCCAGGACGAAAGAAAGAAACCAAAACCCCCCAAAAAACAACCCCAAACAGGGGGAACAGCCCCAGATCCCAGCCAGGCCCATGCCCAGGGGTGCTACATACAGGCTGGGGGGGGCCCTGGGGGTGCAGGGTGGGTGACCCCGGCCATTGCGGGCTCCCAGCCTCGGGGTCGCTCTGGCTCTTCCCAAGGGAATTCGGCCTAAAGTGCATCAAGCAGGAGGTCACCAGAGTCCCCCCAGTCTGGCGGGTGGGGAAACTGAGGCACGGCACCGGGCCGGGACAGGGGACGGGGTGGGAATTCCAGCCCTTGGCAGCCAAAGTCCATGCAAACGTTCCCATCCCTGGGGACCATCTGAGGCGCGTGTATTGCTTAGGGGATGGTTTTGGTTTTGATCATAAATATAGAGCTATAGACGAGAGCATCGGTGCATCCGACGGGATCCTCCGCCCGGGGAGGGGGCAGCACACGGGGCTCCATGCACGGTACATGCTTGGTTGGGGTCTGTGTGTGTGGGTTTGTGTCAGTACCAAGGTTCCATGTTCTGCAGCCATGCGATCGCATCGCCCCGGGGACCCCGTGCGGGGCTTCCCCCTCGGCCTTGCCCCCATTCCGGGGGGTGGGGGGGGTGTGTTCATGTCTGATTCCATAGGGATTTTGCTCCGGAGGCGAGGCTCCCGTTACTTCATGCCGCTGCGCAGCACCTGGTTGGCGGCGATGAGCATCACGCTGATGATGAAGGCGATGGCGAAGGCGCAGATGAGGCTCTTGCGCACGCAGGTCTGGCGGATCTGCTGGCTGGAGCAGGCTGGCAGGGGGGAGCAGGGGTTACCCCAGCACCCCCCATGGTACCGGGGCGAGGGGAGGGGGGTGTTTGGTACCGCGGGCACTCACTCTCCACATCGACCGGGCACTCCTCGGCCGTGCCCATGTGGCTCTCCTCCTCCGTCATGATGATGTTCTCGATGTCCTTCATGGAGAGGTGCTCGCAGAAGGTCTCGTACAGGAGCCGCTTCAGCTCGTCCACCGTCAGCTTCTGCATGTCGCACTGCGGGGGGGGCAGCAGGCGGGGGGCTCACCCCACGGCAGGGCTGCGGCGGCGCCCTTGGGTGCTGCGCGTCGGATGGGTGCCCCCGTGCACGGTAACGGGGTGCTCGCAGCACCCGCAGCCCCGAGCGTGGCAGGGACAGAAAAGCCTCAGGCTGGTGGAACCTGACCCCGAAAGCTTCCACTGAGCCTGACATGGAGCCTGGGGCTGAGCTCGGCCCTCACCCTAACCCTAAACTGAGCCGAGCCCTGACCCCAGCCCTTAACCCAAGTCTGACCCTGACCCAAACCTTCACCTTTTTACCCCCAGTTCCAGCTCTGCCCCCCCCGAGCCCCCGCGCTGCTCCCGGGGGGGGTTCCCACCTTCCAGAACACGGTGTCGAAGTCGGTGCCGTGGAACTTCTCGGGGATGCCGGACGTGGACAGCTTGGGCCCCAGCAGCGTCACGAACTCCTCGAAGTCCACCTGCCCATCACCTGCGGGCACGGGGGCGGGGGGGGCACGGGGTGAGCCCAGGGGAACCCTGCCTGGGGGTGCTCGGCTGCCCCTGTGCAGCCGGACCGGCTGGGCACCCAGTACCGCGGTACTCAGTACACCCAGTACCCAGTACAACACCAGATGGGGCCCTTCAGCAAGGTTTGGGGTCCCCCAGCATTGGCCAGGATGCCCAGCGCTGAGCTGGGGTCCCCCGTGCCAGCCAGGACCCTAACGCCACGGAGAGACCCCAGTGCCGTATGTGCAGACCCGCAGTGCTGGCTGAGGACCCCCAAAACCAAGCAGAGACCCCCCAGCGCCAGCGGTGGCCGCGACCCCGGCGGGGTGGGAAGGGCCCGGGTGCTGTGTCCTGCGCTGCGGAGGATGCGGGTGTCGGGGCTGCCGGAGCAGCGCTAACGATGAGTAATGACGGGAGCAGCAGCTTGGCAGCGCTGCCGGAAAGGCTTTTAAATGAGGAGGGGGAGGCCGATAAATTAACGGGCTCTTTAAGGTCTCAATGAGCCGGGAGCGACGCGGAGAGGCCGATGGTGGCAGCGAGCGCTGGAGGGCACGGCCGGGGCGCAGCATCCAACCTAAGCTGAAGGATCCAGCCCCAGCAGCCCGGTCCCAGCGGGTCTGTGGAGCTGGGAGCGGTGCTGCTCCCACTCCGGGATGGTTAAAGCCTAAGCGAAGCTGCAGTGGTGATGATGCCGATGGATGAATCAGGTCCTCCTGCATCCCACAGCGTCTGGTCCAGCCGCCGCCAGCCAGTGGGGTGGAAGCGGGGCAAATGGGGAGTTTCACCAAGGGGGATTGGGGGGTCCCATTCCTGTCCCCATCCCAGGGTCCTACCGTCCATGTCGAGGCGCTGGATGATGACTTCCAGCTCCACCTCGTTGGGCATGTACCCCAGGGAGCGCATGGCCGTGCCCAGCTCCTGCTTGGAGATGAAGCCGTTGCCATCCCGGTCGAACACCTTGAAGGCTTCACGGATCTCTGCGGAGGGAGCAGGGATGGGTCCGGCCGCCCCCATCACCCCGGTCCCACAGACCCCCTATGGGCAGTGCTGGTGGCCCCAAACCACCCATCCCTGCAGCTGCAGTGGGGTCCCCATTGCAGAGGGGAAACTGAGGCACAGCCGGAGGGGCTACAACACCTGCAGGGACCAGAGCCCCCCCCCCAAGCATCGCTCTGGGGTGTGATGGGTGTCAGTGGGTGATGGATGCGCTGGTACCAGGAGGGGTGTGCGAGGCAGCAAGGGTAACTGTGCACACACACACACACATACACATACACACACACACATACACATACACATACACATACACATACACATACACATACACATACACATACACATACACATTCATTGTGGCCCCAGAAACCACCCCAAGAAGGGTCTGATCTCCCCAGGGGGACACCAAGGGGCCCCCAAAGTCTTTGCTGCAGCACCCACCCACCCTGCCCTTGCCACCACCCAGCTCTCCACAGCCAAAATCCCAGCATCCTGCCCCAAAACCACCTTCCTGGGACATGCCTGAGCTGGGGGCACCCCAAAAGCTGCTGCAGGACCCAGCCTGGAGCATCCTTGTGCCCGGGTGCTGGGTGTGCAGCACCCACCTTCCCTGGGGCACTTTGCACTCATCCCAGGTTATGTGATGGGTACCAGAGCTTCAGCCAGGAAAACCCCAACCCGGTCTTTGGGATTCAGCCCGTGAATGGGGGATGAAGGGGAGAGAGAAAGTGAGAGGATTTGGGGCTTCTGGCTCAAAATGAACCCTGAGGTGTGTGGAAGATCCCTGTGGGGTGCCCGGGCTCTGGGGGCATTGGGCCAAAGCCTCGCGGTGCCCATCGGCTCCATCCTGCCCCTGCTGCACTGGGGGCTTTGCTCCTTCTTGGGGCAGTTTCTGGCTTTGCGATGCCCCCCAGGACATGGAGCTTGAGCCCAGCCGGTGGGAAAGGGGGGGTTTGCATCGGGAACAGCAGGAAGCAGGGCCGGGACGTCAGCGCCTTGCTCCTTCACCAGAGAGCAAAGCTGCTGCGCCGGGCGGCGCGGACGAGCCGGTCCCTGCCGACTGCCGAGGGCTTCGTGCGGGGCTGAAACAGGGCTGAGAACTTCGGTTGGGGGGAGAAAACCCGCACGGGGCTGCGCTGCCCATCCTGGGGGACGTCCCTGCCCATCGGCGGCGTCTGCAGAGGGGTTTGGGGGGACTCTGGGGCCTCTTGGCCCCGTGGCTGAGCTTCTCCAGAGCCAGCATCCCCCTGTGGGCAAGGGATGCTTCGGGTCCCCCCGTGCTCGCTGTGGTCTGGCACTGCTGTGGTCCAGGCACCCCCGAAATTCACCCTTCAGGGATGCTCATCCCACCTGGAGCTGGTTCCTGCCTCCCAGCCCGGGGTGCCGGGGAAAGCCAAGGACATGACCCGGCAGTGGCCAAACAGAGTGTGTGTCCCCCCTGCAGTCTGCACCCTGCTCCTGGGGGTCACAAACGTCCCCTGGGGGCGGAGGAGGTGATGGGGAGACCACGGGTGCCTCGGGGTCACCTTGGGGCTCCCGCTGCTGCCATTGATCCCCGGAGCACATGGATGCAGCCGGGGTGCTGGGAGCATCCCGAGGCCCGGCGGTACCCGACGGTGCTGCACGAGGCTGGGTGCAGCACCCGACACCCCGTGCCTGTGCACACATGTGTGTGAGTGCGCACATACACACGCGTGCACTGCAGAGGGGCTGTGCACACACAAACAGGGATCACCCTGCAGTGATGCTGCACTTGTGTGCGCACACACACGCACACAACCCCATTGCAGTGATGTTGTGCTTGCACACACACACACAACCCCGTGATGTTGTACTTGCGCACACACAACCCCATTGCAGTGCTGTTGTACTTGCACACACACAACCCCATTGCAGTGCTGTTGTACTTGCACACACACAACCCCATTGCAGTGCTGTTGTACTTGCACACACACAACCCCATTGCAGTGATGTTGTACTTGCACATGCACGCACACAACCCCATTGCAGTGATGTTGTACTTGCACACACACAAACCCATTGCAGCGATGTTGTACCTGCACACACACACACACAACCCCATTGCAGCGACGTTGTACTTGCACACACACGCACACACACAACCCCATTGCAGTGATGTTGTACTTGCACACACACAAACTCATTGCAGCGATGTTGTACCTGCACACACACGCACACAACCCCATTGCAGCGACGTTGTACTTGCACACACACGCACACACACAACCCCATTGCAGTGATGTTGTACTTGCACACACGCACACAACCCCATTGCAGTGCTGTTGTACTTGCACGCACACACACAACCCCATTGCAGTGATGTTGTACTTGCACACACACGCACACAACCCCATTGCAGCGATGTTGTACCTGCACACACACAAACACACACACAACCCCATTGCAGTGATGTTGTACTTGCACACACACGCACGCAACCCCATTGCAGCGATGTTGTACCTGCACACACATGCACACACACAACCCCATTGCAGTGATGTTGTACTTGCACACGCACACACACAACCCCATTGCAGTGCTGTTGTACTTGCACACACACACAACCCCATTGCAGTGATGTTGTACTTGCACACACACACACACAACCCCATTGCAGTGACATTGTACTTGCACACACACGCACACAACCCCATTGCAGTGATGTTGTACTTGCACACACACACACACAACCCCATTGCAGCGATGTTGTACTTGCACGCACACGCACACACACAACCCCATTGCAGCGATGTTGTACTTGCACACGCACACACAACCCCATTGCAGTGACATTGTACTTGCACACACATGCACACAACCCCATTGCAGTGATGTTGTACTTGCACACACGCACACAACCCCATTGCAGTGTTGTTGTACTTGCACACACGCACACAACCCCATTGCAGTGATGTTGTACTTGCGCGCATACACACACCCGCTCATTGCAGTGATGTTGTACTTGCACACACGCATGCACACACAACCACTTTGCAGTGCAGTACTTGTGCATGCACATGCACACACATCCCCTTGCAGCGATGCTGTACTTGTATCTGCACACACACAGGTACACACACAGGCACCATGCAGTGATGCTGTACTCGTGTGCACACATCCCAGCACCTTCCAGCGACGTACTCGTGCATGCCCATGCACGCACACAACCGCCCTGCAGTGACGCTGTACTTGTGCGGGCGCACACGCTGCAGTGGTGCTTGCCCATGTGCACAGAACCCTTGCACTGCACGCCCACCCGCACAGCCCTTGCAGTGACGTTGTACTTGTGCACACACACACGCTGCAGTGATGCTGCCCGCGCGTATACACACAGAGACAGACACACAGGCGCCCTGCAGCGGGGCTGTGACCAGGGGACACGTCAGTGCACACTCACAGCCTGCAGAGCTGTGCACGCACACACGTGTCCTTGCACACCTTTGGGCCCAGAGCCCTTCACACCCCCCCCCCCCACCGCAGCCCGGGGGCTCCGTGCCTCAGTTTCCCCACGGGGGTGCCCAGGGGATGCTCCAGCCCCCCCCCCCCCCGCAGAGCCGCGGTCACCCCGTGCCTCAGGTTCCCCGGTGGGTCCGGGGCTGCTGCAGCCCCTTTCCTCCCGCACCCGCCAGAACGGGGCTCCCGGGGACCCCCCCACGTCCCCACTCCGAGCCTGGGGGTACCGGTAGCGCCTGTCCCGAGGCCCCAGCAAACTTTTGGGCTGGAAAAAGCCAATTCCGGCCGAGCCCGGCCCCGCTCATGGCAGGGGTGGGCAGAGCCCGGGGGCACCGCGACCCGGGGAGGGGGTGACACGGGTGACGGGGACAGCCCCCCCGCGCCGCCAGCCTCTGTCATATTATGACAGCGGGAGGGTGGCCCCGGCCCGCTGGGGGTCCGGCCCGCGCCGCCACCGCCGGTCCCTGCTGTGTCATATTGACACAACGGCGGCACCGGGACCCCCGCAGCCCCGTCACCCTCTGCCGCTGCCCCACGCTTCCCTTCCTCCCCTCCTCCTCCTCCCCATCCATCCATGCATCCATCAATCCATCCATGCATCCATCCGCATCCCGCTCGCCTCCAGCTCTCCCCACGGCGCCTGGGCTGGGGGACCGCGCACCCCAAAGCCCCGCACAACCGTGCGGTGTCCCCCCCCCCCCATCCCCGGTCTCCCCCCCGGCCCCGCTCACCCTCCAGCTCGTCCTCGGGGATCTCCACGGGGCGCTGCTCGGAGAGGATGTTGGGGACGGTGTAGATCCCCCGGTACATCAAAGCCGCCGTCACCGGGTGGAACGGCATCTTCGGGGCTACCCAAAAAGCCAAAGTTTAAACCCAAATCTCCTCGCGGGGCGGTGGGGGGGGGGGGGGGACACACGACAGGGACGGGGGGGGTCCCCCCCCAAGCCGGTACCGCGGAACGCTAAGAACAAGTTACCGGTCCCCGCTGCCCCTCGCCCGGCACCCACCGGCCAAGGGGGGCCAGGGCGAGCGGGTGCTCCCCGTCCTCCGGGGCCGGTGTCGGGACGGGGCTGCGGGCTCAGCCCCTCACCGGGGTGTGAGGGCGCGGGGGGACCCCGCTCCGGAGCAGGCTGGCGGCGGCCCGGAGCACATCGCGCCCGAAGTGGAAGCGGGAGGCGAGAGCATCCAAGCACCGGTTAAATCCCGGCGGCGGCGGCGGCGGCGGCGGGGGGGGGGACGGCTCTGGCCATGCCGCTCCGGTACCCTCCCCCCCCGCCAGCCCCGGGCCCGCTCACAGCCCCCGGGGGGCCGCTGCCGCCGGGCCACGCTCCCCGGCGGGCCCCGGCATGGCGGGGCCGCGGCCGAGAGCGGCCTCTTCCTCCTCCTCCTCCTCCTCCTCCTCCTCTTCTGCCTCCCCCCAGGTGTCCCGGCAGGGCCGGGGCCGGGCTCCCGCCGCCGCTCAGCCCCCGCCGCCGCGCACCCGCTGCGCCCCCGCCGCCAGCCCCGGCCCCCGGAGCATCCTCGGCCGCGGCACCGGGGAAGCGGCGGCGGAATCCGGGGGGGAAGCGGCGGGAGCGGGCGGGTTTTGAACGGTCCCGCCCGGCAAATGGGGCTGGGGGGGGTGGGGGGGGGGGAAAGGGGCGGGGGTGGCACCTCCCCCCCCCCCCGGGGGGGCAAAGCGGGTGTCCCCGGTGGGATCCTGCCCCCGCGGTGCCGGGCTGAGTGCTCGGGGTGCTGGTGGGGCACAGGGACAGGGCCCGTGGGGTCCCTGCTGCCCCCGGCTCCCCGCACGTGGCACCGGGCACATTGCCCCCCATCACCCTGCGGTCCCCACATGCAGCACTCGGACATCGTCACCCCAAAGTCCCCGCACGTGGCACCCCAAGGTTCCCCCGGCTGAGGGGGGTGACAGGGACCCAGCGGCCGGACCCCCTCCTCCTGCACCAGGGCAAAAAAGGAGCTGGAAAGAGGCACGAAGCCAGGCCTGGAGTGAAGCCCCCCCCCCATCCCCATTCCCATTGTCCCCCGCTTCCCCTCAAGCCTTGATCACATTTTTCACCCCATTTCTCTCTTTGTCTCTGATTAATCGCAGATTCCCCCTCACACACACATCCTCCCCATGGCACCCATGTCCCTGTGCTCCTCATCTGCGCTCCTGTACCCAGCCAGGGATGCTGCCAGCACCCGGGAGCTCCCCTCTCCAGGGTCTCTCTTTGGTAGCTCCAAAGGCCCTGGCCCGCTGGGACGGGTCTGTCTCGGTGTCCCCCGTGCCCGGGTGGCATCTCTCTCTCTCCAGCGGCCAAAGCCCCCGTTCCCCAATGGAAACGGCCTTTGGAGGGGCTGTAGTGGGAGGGAAGGGGCCGAGACAAGAGGACGATGTCCCCTGAGCAGTAATGGGGTGGGAAAGAGAAAAGGGGGACGCTTGCAACCTCCCCGGTGCTCATCAGGCACCAGGGATGCTCAGGAGCAGGAGGGAAACTGAGGCAGAGCCGGACGGGCTCCAGGTGTGCTCCTCGGAGTGGGACTGCACAGGAATTTCGGAATGGGGTTTTCCTGCTCCTCCATCCCCTCCAGTGCAACACACACACACACACACACAGAGCATCCCGCAGCAGCCCCGCAGCCCTTCCCGCATCCAGCTCAGAGCTGCCGGCGTTTGTGGGCGAGCGGCTCCCCCATTCCCCGAGGGAATCTCCCCCATTCCCGACGGGAGCATCGGCCGCAGCTCAACACCGGAGCTCCCCAAACCCCATGGCCCTTCGGCGCCCGTTGGGATGAACCCGCGGGGGCCCCTGGAGGCGGAGGAAAAGCGCCGCTGCCGCGCTGGGATTCCAGAACTGATCCAACCCCGGCGCTGCGGGCTCCAGGGACGCTTCCTGCGGGATGGCACCGCTCGGGGCCGGGGGCACGGGGGATGCAGGGCTCGGGGGTGCCTTGGTCCAGCTCCATCCTCCCCCGGGCTCGGGTTTGGGGCTCATCCCCCTGCGCCCCGCGGGGAGTCTCCGGTGTCTGATAGCGCGGCTGAGCTCGCCGCACGGAGCGGGAGGGCGCCGGTAACGTGAAGCGGTGCCCACCGAGGCAGAGCAGCCTCATTGGAAGTCTGCTCCTTCCCCGGCCGCTCCCCGGGGTTAACGAAGTTGCCTCCCAATTAATTCTCCCTTTGCCCACCGGAGGCCCCGGGGGAAGCTCATTTATTCCTCCCCACGCACATCCCGGCAGGAACAACGCCGCATTCCCGGGCTCTTCCCCACGAATCCCTTCAGGAGCTCGCTCCGCTGCCACCGGGACCCGTCGGGGCACCCTCCCCTGCGGAGGGGGGACGCAGCCGCCCCATCCCGGCTCCGGCTGCTTCTTCCCGGGGGATGGAGGCAAAGCAGGCGCCGGCATGGGGGGGAAGAACGGGAATTAAACAACGGCTTAATCGCACTTGGAGCCGCGATCGGGGTCTCTGTGGGACCAACGCGGAGCCCCCGCTGTGTTTAAACTGAGCCGAGCCAGGCACCCCCATCCCGCCCTGCCCCGCCGTTCTCTTCCTCATGGGATGAAGGCTGGGACCTGCCCCCGGTGCAACCGCAGCCCCTTTGCCGGTCCCCTCACTTGTTTGGAAGGGAGAAGCTCGGGATTGGTTTCCTCAGACCCGGATGCTGGCTGGAGGCAGCCGCAGCCTCAAAATCCCAGGGATTTCAGCTTAAAACCCCAGGCTCTGCCAGGGGCTTTGCAGGTTTCCAGCCTCTGGGATGTGTCCAATGCTCCTCTCCAGGATTCCTGGTATTCTCTTAGCTGTTCCTCTCACAATTCCCCCTTTATTTCAGTCAGGGCAGGTCCCTGCCACCTCTCCCTCCATCCCTTCCATGATGGCAGCACATTCCCGATGCCCTCAGGTGACACTGGAATTAGTGGATCCCACGAACGAGGAGGGAGAAGCATGATCCAGGCCCGGCATTTTGTGTCTCATTTGTCCAGGTTCATAACCCAACATCAACACCTTCACCTCCCTCAGGAACCAAAAGGGATGAGGATGGGAATGGGAATGAAGATGGGGATGGGGATGGGGATGGATATGGGATGGAATGGGGTGGGATAGGGTTGGAGATGGCATGGGGATGGGATGGAGATAGCTGACAAGGATGTGTGTGTGGAAACCTGGCATAGATGGGATGGTGCAAACCTGGGCTGGGTGCCCTCAAATCCCTGAGGACAACCCCATGGATAACACCGGGATGTGGCACCGCTCACGCTGAGGGGACAGGAGCAGCCAGGGTGGCCCCTGTGTCACCCTGCAGCCACCGCTGGCCCCGAGCCCTCGGAGGCACCGGAGCATCCATCCCCGGAGCTGCTACTGCTGTCACTGGGCAGCAGTGAGAGGGGCTTTAAATGAACCTGGATGGAAGGGAGGCATGGAGCGGGCAGAGGGGTTATCTCAGTGCCAGATCCTGCTGGGATGTGCCAGGACTGGGATCTGGTGTAGCTGTGGCCATCCCTGCACTGGGATGGTGCCTTCTGGGGCAAATCACACCCGTGACGGGGCAGGCTCCAGCAGCTGGAGCAGGTGGGGAGGGAACGGAAAAGGGGAAGGATTTGAGAGCTCCGTTTCATTTGGGGTCTCAAAGGGGAAAATGGCTCCTCCATGGGAGGAGGGGAGAGCTCTGCTTGGGACAAATGGGATAAATGGAAGTGAGCCTGGTCTCAGCATCCCTCGAATGGATGGGGCAGCCACAGCTTCTCTGGGCACCCTGTGCCAGCGCCTCAGCACCCTCACAGGGAAGAGCTTCTGCCTACGAGCTCATCTCAGTCTCCCCTCTGGCAGGTTCAAGCCATTCCCCTTGGCCTGTCCCTACATCCCTTGTCCCAGGCCCCTCTCCAGCTTTCCTGCAGCCCCTTCAGGCACTGGAGCTGCTCTCAGGTCTCCCCTTCAGGAGCCTTCTCTTCTCCAGGCTGACCCAGCCCAGCTCTCTCAGCCTGGCTCCAGAGCAGAGCTGCTCCAGCCCTCGCAGCAGCTCCGTGGCCTCCTCTGCACTCTCAGCCCTTGCTCTCAGTGCTGTGGGTGCTCAGTCCTGGTGTCCCCGGCACTGACAAAGGTGCTGAGCAGCCCAGCACCGACCCCTGAGGGCACTGCTCGCCACCGGTCCCCACTTGGACCTTGAGCCATCGACCACAGCTCCCAGTGCCTTCTCCATCCATCGCATCCCAGGCAGAGCTGCCCAGGGCTCACCAACACCCATGACCCGGCCCCGAGCACCCCCTGCTCCCCGATGTGGGTGCACTTCCCTGCCTCACCCCCCCCGTGCAAGCACCCGTGTGCAGGAGCCCTTCCCTCGCACAAACTCCCCGTTCCCATGGATCTGCTGCTGGTGCAGGGATCAACCATCACCGAGCCCCTGGAGCGGGGCTGGGGGCCCGGAGCAGCCCCCCAAGGTGGGGTCGTGCCCGTTCTTGGGGTGTTTGGCACGGAGGGGGGGTCAGTGGGGTCCCAAAGGGGTTTTATCCATAGCTCAATCCTGGAGGACAACGTGGACGCGCTCCACATTCCAGGCAGGCTGAAAGCAGCTCCGGGGATGGCAAACCCGGGGCTCAGGCCCCGGATCCTGGTGAGGAAAAGGACAAGCAGGGATGGGGGAGCCCCAAGGGGAGAGGAGGACCCCGGAGGGCTGGGAGCAGGGAGCATCCCCAGGGATCCTCCCCCTGCAGCAGTGAAGGGCTCCGCGAGGCTTTTCCCAAAGAAAGGAAGACCAAACACGTCCCCGCTGCCCCTCTTTAGCGCTTTGGATCTTTATTAAAACCAGGAGAAAACGGTTATTCCTTCCGAGGATGAATCCAGGGCAATGGGAAGGCGGCCGGTGCCAGGCCGCAGCCATCCGGATGGCAGCCGCGAGCCGGAATTCCATCCCCAGCAGTGTGGTTTTAAATAAGGAAGAGTTCCCTCCGGCCATCCCGGGGCAGCCGGAGGTCAGGAGGGGTTGGGGGAGCGGGGAATTGGGGTCCCGGGGCAGCACTGGGGTAAATCCCCGGGGGATTGGGATAGAGCCATGAAGGAAAGGTCAGAGCATCCCCGTTGTGCTGCTGCCGGGAGGGCAGAGCTGTGGGCAAAGGCACCCGTGTGAGGACAGGCAGGGGCAGGCAGGAGCAGGCAGCCCTGGCTCCGTCCCAGTCTGCAGAACAAAGGAGGCTCTGTGTGGTTGGCACCGGCTGCTCCCCTGCTCCAAACCCCTTGCAGGGTGGAGGAGGATGAGGAGGAGACCTTCATCCCGCTTCCTGCCACTGCCTCCGCTCCCCAGGGAAGCAGCATCCCCATGGACCGCGGCCCCGCTCCGCCTGCGCCAGCCCTGATTTACAGCACTCCACTCGGACATGCTCCGGGTTCCTAATGGAGCTCCAGGCACCGGGAGAAGGCAGCCGGAGGGATGGGATCCCCATGGGCACGATGGCAGCAGGGCATGGCCATAGTGCCAGCCCCAGCACTGGGAGAACGCCGGGGTGTGGGTGTGTGTGTGCATCCGAGCCAAAGGACTACACTGGGAAAGTAAGGGAAAGGCTGGAAAGAAAGGGCAGAAGAGGGGGATGGATGGATGGATGCTAAGGCAGAGAGCATCGCAGAGTCCGCGGGCAGCGGGCCCCCTGTCCGTCGGTGTGCCCCGGGGGTGATGCCCGGCTCCCAGCCCCGGCTGGGCACTCGATCCCAAGGGAATTGCCGGTGGCAGCGGCGGCGCGGAGCACGGGTCGCTCCCTACAGCTCCTCGAAGAAGGCCACGCGGGACTTGGTGCTCTGTAGGGTGAGCTGCAAGAGAGCAGAGGGGGTGAAGGGCAGCGGGATGAGCCCCTGGCACCGGGCTGCACACGGAGCCAGCCGCTGCCTTTATCCCCCCATCCCTGCCCTTGGAAAACACCAGGGAACGTGGCACGGGCCGAGCCGGCAGCAGCCTCAAGCACAGCCCAAAGGAGAAGCACAGGGGACAACGGCACCTTCCCCCCGACTGCTGAGGGGCTGCAGACCCAGTTAACGCCATTAATGTGGCTGTGGGATACACGGGAGCCTGGAGCACTCCTGGGCATGGGATTGGGGCCAGCACAGCCCTTCCTGCCTTGTCCTGAGGGGGTCCTACAAAGCTGGAGGCCAAGGGGAATGGCTTTAACCTGCCAGAGGGGAGACTGAGATGAGCTCTTAGGCAGAAGCTCTTCCCTGTGAGGGTGCTGAGGCGCTGGCACAGGGTGCCCAGAGAAGCTGTGGCTGCCCCATCCCTGGCAGCGTTCAAGGCCAGGTTGGACACAGGGGCTTGGAGCAAGCTGCTCTAGTGGAAGGGGTTGGAGTTGGAGGAGCTCTAAGGTCCCTTCAACCCATCCAGGCTGGGGTTCGATGGAAACAGCCTCCATCAGCTGGAGCCAAAGGCAGAACCGTGCTTGCCTCCAGCCCCACAGCCTCGGGGCCAGCCAAGCCCACCCTGTCCTGCGCTCGCACCCACCCCATCGCTGTCACTGGGGTCACCACGTGTGCCTGCTGACCACAACCCAGCTCAGCACCACGCTGGGCTCACACCTTCCCCGTGTCCCCGGGGCTCCCCTCCAGCCCCCCCTGAGGGCCCTGGCCACGGCTCTGCGGGACCCCCGGCGAGGAAAAGCATCCCCATGGCTGGGAGCGGGATGAAGCAGCCGAAGCTCCCGTGGGGAACGCCGGTTCTGCTGAAGCAGGAATCCTCGGATCACGTTACTGGGAGCTCAGCCCCGCGCTGGAGCTGCCAAGAGCTTCCCCCCCCCTCCCTCCCTCCTCTCCCTTCCCCGCTTCCCCCTCGGTAATTCCTGCACGGCTCTAACGGCACTTGGAAAAATCCCCACTGCAGAGGCAGGGGCTGCAGGGCTCCAGCGCCCTTCGCTGGCGGCATCTGCCAGGCCAGCGCTGGCTGAGACGGGACACGGGCCCCAGGCACACCCCAAGGAGGAGCATTCAGCACCAGCGTCCTGAGAGCCCACACGGAGCCATCCCCTCTGCAGGCTGGGTGGGGAATCAAAGCCCCCCCACTCCTCCAGCCCGCGGTGCTGCACCATTAAAGCACAGCGAGGGGAGATGCTCCCCCCCCCAAGCAACCTCAGTGCTCCGATAGGGAAAAGAAGGGAGCCACTGCTGGGGCAGGGAGGGAAGATGCTGCCCTCAGGCTCACAAGGAAGATCTGAGCCTGCCTCTGCCTCCGGCTACCCACAGCTCCCTGTTAATCCCCTACTGCTTCCATGGCCCTGGGGTACCTCAAAGCGCTGCTGGGGAAGCACGGGGAGGCAGAGCCCTGAGGGCATCCAGCACAGGCACGTGGAGACACAGGGATGCAGCCCTGCTCCATCGCCAGGAGCCTGCACCCGTGCCTTTCAGGGGCTCCTGGGGGCGGATGTTTTCACCTCTCCAGGGAAACTGAGGCACGGGAGGAGCAGCTCAGCTCCTCAGGGATGGGTCGTGAGGAGATGGGGTCCTGCAGAGAGGGGTGAGAGCAGCTTCCCAAGAGCACCGTGTGCACCCCACTGGTGCCGCGCTGGCTCTTCTGCCCATCCAAGTCCCCAGAGAGGAGCCAGACCCCCAGCAACCCGGAGGGTGTCAGAAGAGCTCCACACAAGTGGGGCCAGGCACAGCTGGGATGTTTCTCCTTAGCAGGAGCCGGGCTGTGGCTGAGGCCTCGGTGGTGCCTTGGGCAGAGGAAGGGGACCCCAGCTTCAGGCTGCTCTGCCCTCCGCACCCAGCAGCAGCTCGGGCACTGGGGATGGAGCTGCTCTCTCCTCACCTCTGACTGCAGTCGTGAATGAACAGAGAGGAAACGAAGCCTGCTCTTGGCTGCACGCTGCCTCCAGCACCGCTGCTCTGCTGTGTCCGGAGGGAAAACTCCCCCTCCCTTTTCCTTGCTTTCCCTTCCCTGGGGGAGCTCTCACCACCAACCCGAGGGACCGCAGACTCATGGCACACTTTGGGCTGGAAGGGACCTTCAAAGCTCATGTGGTCCAACCCCTGCGAGGAGCAGGGCCATCTTCAACGAGACCAGGCTGGTCAGGACCACATCCAGCCTGGCCCTGAACACTGCCAGGGATGGGGCAGCCACCACCTCTCTGGGCACCCTGTGCCAGCGCCTCAGCAACCTCATTGTAAAGGATTTCTTCCTCATCCAGCCTGCACCTCCCCTCCTTCAGTTCGAACCCATCACCCCTGGACCTATAGCAACAGGCCCTGCTAAAGTCTCTCCCCTTCTTTCCTGCAGCCTCTTTAGGCACTGGAGCTGCTCTCAGGTCTCCCCTTCAGGAGCCTTCTCTTCTCCAGGCTGACCCAGCCCAGCTCTCTCAGCCTTTCCCCACAGGAGAGGGGCTCCATCCCTCTGCCCACACCTGTGTCCCTGGGCCCTCTCCAACAGGTCCATGTCTTTCCTGTACTGATGACCTCTGAGCTGGACACAGGACTGCAGAGGGGTCTCCCCAGAGCAGAGGGGCAGGATCCCCTCCCTGTGGATACACTGCAGGAAGATGGGCAGAGCCAAGGGAAGCTCCTTGGGGTAGTGAGCCCCGTGGCAGCCGGATCTATTCCCCCCCCACAGAGCCCATCTCACTCCCCATCTCCTTTGGGCTGCGAAAGCAGGAGCTCTGCAGGGAAATCCCATTCCCTCCTGCAGGAGCAACTGGGTTTTCCCTGTTCTCTTCCACACACTGGGCCATGGAAGCAAGGAGAGCACAGCCCTTCTCCAGCCTCTCCCTGAGGTGGCACCCAGCACCTCCACTAACTCTGCACCCTCTGCCCAGCCAGGCAAGGAGAAACCCATCTCCATGCCCGTAGCACAGCGTTCCACAGGCGAGGAGAGTGATTAAGAGCGAGTTACATTCTTGTCAGTGCAGAGAGGGGGGGAAAAATTGATTTACAAGCAGTATTATGATAATCTGCTTCCTGCAGGAGGGAGGGAGGCTCCACAACGCACTGCCACAGCAGCAAAGGAAATTCAGAGACAGCGCAATTAAGCAGCCAGAGCTCCAATGAATCAAAAGCCAGGGAAGCAAAGAGTCCCCCTCGCTGCATTCCTGCGCCGGGCTTCCTCTGAGCCCTGTTTCACCCCGGCCTGCGGGGCTCATTTGATTTAAGGACATCAAACCAACACAAGCAACCCAATCAGTGCCTCCAAGCCCGGCGGGGTGCGGAGGGTAACCCAATAACTGCAGCACACAAGTGCTGCTGCCCCGGGGGCTCAGATCCCATCCCAGAGGAGCAGGGAGAGGTTTAAAATGCCTCATGTCCCTGTTCATCCTGCAGCAGCTGGAGCAGGGGGTGACCCGTGCCACCCCCACCAGTGTCCCCTCACCCCATGGGATCGGGGACATCTCCCTGCTGCTGGGAGGGAGAGCTACGATCCTGCTAACTCGCCACCCAGTGCTGCATGCCATAAATCCTCTTTATTCCCTTCCCTGCTCCCCTGAATGTCCTTCTCCCTCCCTGCCCGCTCCTCAGGCCCCAGCAGCCAGGTGGACCTTTCACTTCCCACCTTCCATGGTGAAGCCCAACGCTTCCTGTTGCTCCCTCCCCAGCTCCCTCTCCCTCCCACGCTGCCGGTTGTTCTCTCCCCAGCCCCACTTTCCCCCCCCCGGCCCCCAATGCTTTGATGAGCACATTTAAAAGACAGAGGATGATGCTCCATCTGAAGGAAACGCTTTTCAAAGGCTGCCACAAAAATAGCTGATAGGCCTGACGTTCCCTGGTTTCCTTTGGCTCCTTGTAAACAAGGCAAGGAGCTGCCGTGTCCCAGTTTAGCTGCCAAGGAGTTTCACTTCCCAGCTCCGAGGAGAACCAGGGCAGAGAGGAAAGGAAGCTGGCAGGGACGTGGCCTGGCACACATGGGGATGTGAGGGCCGGACCCACAGGGGATGAGCATCCACCTCCTCCCACAGCTGGGGAAATGGGTGCCGGAGGTGTCCAGAGCAGTGCTGCTCCCCGGGGATGTCCCAGTTCTCACCTGCATCCCAGGTGGGTGCCAGGCAGGGCGAGAAGCCAGCATCCTGGCTCAGGGTTTCTCTCAGCCCTCACAGCTCCCAAAGGGAATGGGAATGGGAGGGGGAATAACCGGTGCTGTTGCTCCTGGGAAGGCCATTGCTGCGTGTGTAGGCTCTGCAGCAGCAGAGTGGAGCACACAGTGACACCAAGGCAGAGCTGCATGAGACTAAGAGTACCTCAGAGAAACCCAGCCTGGTTTGGGTTGGAAGGGACCTTAAAGCTCCTCCAGCTCCAACCCCTGCCATTGGCAGGGACACCTTCCACTAGAGCAGCTTGCTCCAAGCCCCTGTGTCCAACCTGGCCTTGAACACTGCCAGGGATGGGGCAGCCACAGCTTCTCTGGGCACCCTGCTCCCTCCTTTTGCCCTTCCTAGAGCAATAGGGCTTGTGCTGGTCCCTTCCTGACACAGGACGAAGCTCCAGCAGCACAATAACCTCTTCCATCTCCCTTAGCAAACCACTGGAGCAAAGCAGACCCACTTCATGCAGGGGAGGCTCCAGGTCCCAGAAGGGGACAGGAGAGGGAGGGAGGCTCCAGGAGATGACAGAGACCCCACAAGACTCGAGGAAGTCCTTGTGGGACTCGTTCCAGTGATCCCTAGCGAGATGCCATCCAGGCACAGCTGGAACAGAGGGAAGCTGCCTGCCCCACGGTGAAATCCTTCAGCCTGTCCTGATGATGAAGTAGCCTCCTGGCATTTGGTGGTGGCAAAGCAGCTTCCTATCTCCATCATGTAGAGACTCAGATGGCAGTGCCCATCACTAAATCACCAGTGCCCTTATACTGCTGTAGAGGACAACCCAGAGCACAGCTTGAAGGTGAAAGGAGTGAGGATAAGCCTGCAGATGAGTCCGCATTGCTTTGCCTCCCTTGCCCCTCCGCGCTTGGCAGCCAGGAGCTGCTCACTGCCTGAGCCTGAAGGGGATGTGGTAAAACACGACTGTTCACGGCCCAAATGATGGAGGAAGCCCAGAGGAGTCTATTGGTGATAAAGCAGATTTGAAGCAGCTTATCCAAACCTCAACAACCTGAGGGCAACACTGCACCACCACCAGGGTGAGCCAGGACTGGGACCAGCAACAGCTCACCCATGTCCAACGACCCCAACGGGCACCCCAGTGCTGGCCCTCAGGAGCAAGCTCCAGGCTCAGGAGAACCCTGCATCTGAGGAAAAGCCAGGAGCCATGTGACAGCCTGGCAGGGAAAAGCCAAGCCTGCCTGGGGAAGGACCAGAGAGCTGCTCAAAGACAAAGCTGCTTGTCTGGGAACAGCCTGGAGATTTGCATACTTCAAAGGGCTTAAATCACAGTAAATAAGCATGACGGTGCAAGAAGAAAGCAAGTGCAACGAAAGACCTGATTGTGGTTTCAGCAGCAGCCTGCCCTGGGAGCTTCTCTGCTCTGGAGGATGCGAGGAAGAAGTGGGTTTTTCCATCTCCTACCACAGCCTAAGTGGCAAACACTCCTGAAGCCAAGTGAGCTGGATCAGCAGCACCAGCCCGTGGTGGAGAGGAGATCGGGCTCCAGCTGAGGTGCTTCTGCTGTGCCCATAGGGCTCATAAAGAGGATTAGCACCTTAACCACGTAATTACTCAGGACAAACTCTGCAGGGGTCTTCAAAGGCAGGCATGGAGCCTAAGAGGTGACATCCTGGTTGAACCATGGGGGCTCCTCCCAGCACCGAATCCCTCCCAGCTGCTGCATGGGTCTCACCACAAACTGCCAGGGCTCCACCTCACCTCCCTGGGCTTCGCCTGCCATGGGGTTCCTCAAGCCAGTTGGGATGGGGCAGTGGGAAACTACAGCCAGCCTGCCCCAGAGAGACATCCAAGGTGAGGGTCTCCCCTCATTTTAGCCTCTTCCCCAAGGAAATGCTTACAGAGGGAGAGAGGTCCATCCTGGGAACATCTGCAGCTCCCCAGAGAGCGGCTGGTGGGCACAAAGTCCTAACTTGAGTGATTTACAGCCCTGGAACCACAGAGCACAGACTGCTTTGGGTTGGAAGGGACCTTAAAGCTCCTCCAGCTCCAACCCCTGCCACGGGCAGGGACCCCTTCCACTGGAGCAGCTTGCTCCAAGCCCCTGTGTCCAACCTGGCCTTGAACACTGCCAGGGATGGGGCAGCCACAGCTTCTCTGGGCACCCTGTGCCAGCGCCTCAGCACCCAAACAGGGAAGAGCTTCTGCCTCAGAGCTCAGCTCAGTCTCCCCTCTGGCAGGTTAAAGCCGTTCCTCTTTGCCATTTCCTCCCTTAGCACTGCCACTCAAACCTCACCAAACCCCAGAAGTGTGCAAGAACCACAGTCAAAGAAAGAGAAATACAAAGCAGCTTCCCCAAACTCCTCATCCCAGCAGAGGGAGCTGATCTCTGCCTGTGCCTCGAGGGCAAATCCTCAGAGGAAAGCAGGCTCTGCAAAGAAAACACATTTACCAGAGCCGGAGCCAGCGCTGTGCTGAAGGAGGCAGAGGCATCACAGGCAGTCAGGGTGTCCCAGGCACGATGGTGACCAGCAGCTCCAACACGGCCCCCCTGGACCACCCCACTGCAGCCCTGCAGACACTGCCTGCCCTCAGCAGCCTGCTCCACGTGCCTGTGCTGCTCCTCAAGCAGGCAGACACGGACACCACGTGCTGCTCCACTCCAAGAGGGAGGGCTGTGTTTTCAGCCTGTTATGACAGTTTTGGCAGCAAAGAGTTGCTGGGGTTGGTTTGTTTTTAAATCCTGAATTTCTCTCTGCAGCAAACGAGGGGGAAAGTCCTGGTTTCCTTCTTTAAAGAAATCTTCAAAGGCCACCCTGCGCCTCCCCTGGATTCCCAGTCACCAGCAGCCCAGGAAAACAGGTGTGGTGAATTATTCACGGGCTAAGGGGAATGGCTTTAACCTGCCAGAGGGGAGACTGAGCTGAGCTCTGAGGCAGAAGCTCTTCCCTGTGAGGGTGCTGAGGCGCTGGCACAGGGTGCCCAGAGAAGCTGTGGCTGCCCCATCCCTGGCAGTGTTCAAGGCCAGGTTGGACACAGGGGCTTGGAGCAAGCTGCTCTAGTGGAAGGGGTCCCTGCCCAAGGCAGGGGTTGGAGCTGGAGGAGCTTTAAGGTCCCTTGAACCCAAACCAGGCTGGGATGCTGTGATTTAAGCCTGTGCCGTGCTGCATGGGCTCCCTGTGGGGACAGGCACAGTGAGCCCAGTCTCACCAGCACCACCACACCCCTCTGTGGTGCAGGAGGGAAGTTGTAGGCTTGCAGCAAGGGGAGCTGGCCAGAGCAGGGTGCATTGCAGGCAAGCTCATGCAGGGGTTAGTGCGGCAGGCAGTGACCCCAGCACCCCACGCAGAGAGTACCTTGGAATAACCTACTTGGAAGTCTCAAATGCAGATAGGTCTTCTGCTCTGGGCTTGAGGCTAAACCAGCAAAATAAAATGAACAACAAGAAGAAAGAATCCTCTGTGAGATGAGTAATGTCAGGTCATTTGTGCAACCTGTCCAGCTTGCCCAGAGCACTGAAGTGATCAGCAGCATCCAGGAGGGGCAGAGGGTTGGTATTACTGAAGTATTGTTAAACTGCTATTCCATTTCCAGCCTCACAGCCGCCTTCCCATCACAACCACCAAGACAAAAGCCCTCCTGCCCTCCTGGTGCCATGCACAAAACCAGGCTGTAATTGTATTCTGATGTGCTGCACTAATAGACTATTATTTCCAACCTTTGCTCCCCCAGTGAAGGTGCAGGAGCTGGGCAGCCTCAGATCCCTCCTGAAGGGAGGGGACAGGACAAGACTCCAGCTTCAAAGGAACGAAGAGTGACTGCACAGTCCCAATTAGAATGATGAGCCCTGACAGGCACTGAAATGATGGCCCAGCCACCTTCTTTAAGTGAGACAAATGGGACCATCAGCTCACTAGGAACTTGTCTCTGTCAGAAGTGAAAATTTACCATTTTCCACTTAAACTGAGGACTCTGAGCATGGAGACAAAACCCATTGGGAGCAGCAACATCTTCAGCTTCTACAGTGACAAGGGCCTGGGAAGATTCTCTGCTTTGGTGTGACAGGAACCCAAATAGCTCAGGGCTAGCAGAGTGAAGTGAGACCCGGTAGATCCGTGTTCCTGCCCCAGTTCAGTGATCATGAACTTCCAGCCATGAAAGCTGGCATCAACTGGTATTACCAAATCCTTTCAGCCATAACTCTCAGGTGGGAGTAGTAAAGAGGGAAGGATTTGGTTTCAAACCCTGGAGTTGTTACCCCAGCCTGCATCCCATGCCATACAGCATTCCAGATCCCTCTCCAGGTGCGATCCCTGGGCTAGCAGACCCAGCACCCTAAATGTGGCCTAAGATACTCATCCCAACAGGATTTCTAGAGGCAGGTGGTTCCAGGGTCCACAGCACTGGGAGCAGACATCTCACACCCCACTACTAGTGGCAGATTTGGCTGTTAGTATTGGAAGCTGCACTACAGGCTGCTGGAGAACAGATTAAGAGAGAGGATGAGGCTTTTGGCTTTTTCTACTGAGCACCCAGAAGCGTTTTTGCCCTTATTATTCACCAGACAAGCTCAGTGTTTGTTTCCTTGCAATGCCTGTAGGGCACAGCTGCAACATGCAGACGGGGCTTTTCCTGTTCCTGAGGTCACTAGGGTGGTGATCCCTTCTAACAGCATCCCTTTTCAGCAAGACCTTCACAGCTCGAGGCCTCTGCATCCCTTCACACAGCACTGAAGAGACAAGGTTTGGCTATGGCAAACATCAGCCAGCACGTGGCACTCCCTGCCCCCTGGTTCAAAGCTGAGCAGCTGGGGAAGGAAGCCTAGATCAAAGAGTTTTATTATAACAACTTGTGCAAAAGCTAACCCAGACAGAAGGGTTCTGTTGTGGTTGGGTTTAAAGGGTTTCATCAGGAGAGATACAAACTGGAGCCCTCCGATACCTTTTTGATAGTGTTGTGCTTGCTGTTGCCCCGGCTGGCGTTCTCGTTGTGCAATATATCCAGAGCTGTCTCCCTCTCCTTTAGCTTCAGTGCCTCAATTTCAGTCTTCAGCTCGTTCAGCTGCTCCTGGAGGTGTTTGCTCTTCTCCATGTACTCCACCCTAGCACACACAAAGAGTCCTGGGTTAGGCCAGGCTGACACGATACAGTGATAACAGAATGACACCAGGAAAACCTTCTCTCTGTTACTCCGAATGTGTCGAACTGAAACCAGCCTCAGCAATGATGGGGCTGTTATTAAAATGGGACCCAGGCAGCTGACCCAGGAACAAAACTAAGTTACATTACTGTATGAAAGGCTAAAGGCAGGCTGGAGCTGCTGGATGGTATTTGTAAGTCTCCCCATCCCTGCATGAAGCTGCACCATGACATTACACGTCTCAGCCTACAAGGGAGTAGTTTTAGCTCTTTCCACTGCTCTACTCCACCGCACTCTCTCCCAAAGCTAGCTCCCAAACTCAAAGGCACGAATCCTACCAGTCAGGAAGGACCCTGCTGTACTGACTTCTCATGTTTTGGAAGGAGTTAGCTTGTAAATTGTGTGGGAGCAAGCACTGCCCCCCAAATACCAGGTATCTCTTAGCCACACAGCAAGGCTGGGAGAGACAGAGGTCTCCCAGAAACAGAAAGGAAGAAAAAAAGCAAACCCAGTTCTCAGGACTGGGCCCTCACAGCCTTCTGTGCTGAAGCATCAACTGGAGGAAAAATCACACCGTGCCAGCCATGAGGAAACACTGAGAGCCAGGGCAAAGCTCCAGCACACCAACAAGAACCCTCTCGGACAGCCAGGATTTGTAGTGAGCATTCTCCCCGCACCAGAGGAAGGAGAACAATCCCATAGAAGACAGCACAAGATGCTGCTGCTTTCAGGATTTGGCAGAGCCAAGCTCTTCCTGCTGAGGAGAGCAGGATGACCCAGTTAACAACCTGGGTACAGAAGCAGGAATTAGCCCCTTCTTTTCAGCTTCTATCTTTTTCCTTCTGGCTTTAGGAAGAGTTTTCACCTCTGTCTCCAGCACAGGGGGCTCTTATTCCACACACAGGAGAGGGCACTGAGCAGAGGCAACATAAACCATCCCTCTGGGATCCAGGGGTGCTTCATTCCTGCCCTGGGAAGTTTTGGTTGGAGCGCTATGGCAGAGCCCTTTCAGCTTTGATCTACAAGCCAGTCGATGCACAAAGCACATTATTACTACAGAGATTAAAATCGGATCTGCTTTGATTTCTGCTCGATCTGTTGTGTTGAAGGCTACACTCACACCCTCAGGAAAACACAAGATCAAAGCTCAATCAAATCCAAACTTGCTTGTGTGCACTTTTTATATAGGAACATGACACACATTCCAGGAAAAAGGGGTTAAAGCCCCAAAGCAGGAGCTCAGCACACACTGCAGCTACTTTCCATTCTCTGGACACACTGCACATGCAGTGGCACCAGCCTGCCACAGCTCAGCACACCAGCAGCCAGGCTGCTCTTAACCTTCTACCAAGATGAACAATTCAAGCCTAAACAAGAGCCAGGGTAATCTTATGGAGAGGAAACTCTGGTGCCCCCAACATAAGAAGCTGTTGGAGCAAATCCAGAGAAGCTGTGGCCGCCCCATTCCTGGCAGTGTTCAAGGCCAGGCTGGACACAGGGGCTTGGAGCAAGCTGCTCTAGTGGAAGGTGTCCCTGCCCATGGCAGGGGTTGGAACTGAAGGAGCTTTAAGGTCCCTTCCAACCCAAACCAATCTGGGATTCTACGAATCAAGCTCAGCATGCTTCAACCTGCCTCTAAGCAGGCAGCAGGGACATGCCTGTGACACCAGGTCAACCAGAGCTATTAATCCAAAAGGAATACCAAAGGCTTCTCTCCCCTTTTCACCTCACACTGGTGCTTGTCTGGTACTTAAAAACTACATTCAGCACCCATCCAATTCCTCCCACTACAACTGAGGCACAAATCCCAGTGCTGGACACATGCCACATACTTCTCTTTCTCTATTTCCATCGAAAGCCTCTTCATGTCAGTATCCTTGAAGTCAAAAGACAGGCTCTCACTGATGAGGTTGAAGCTTGGCAGGTCAGTAGGCAGTGCTGTTGTACTTGAGTTCATAGACTGCTAAAGAGAGAGTACAGATTAATCCCTCTTGGCACACAAATGTTCCTATAGCAAACGTTCTGTAACAGAGGTAAAATAAAGCAGCAACTAAGCACACACAACAAGGCACTACTTGCTAATGCTGTAGTAAGGGCTTGAACTGCTACTCACACAGGTAACAACACACTCTTCCTGGGGCTGGGTGTATTCCACCTTGCAGAGTGCTGAACTAGAAGGATCTCATCATTTGTATGGGGAAAGGGAAGGGGCTCATGTGGATGAGCTTTAAGGTCTCTTCCAACCCAAACCAGGGTGGGATTCCTGATGTGGCACAGCCCACGACCCTGTTTGCCTGAATCAACCTCAAACTTTCTGGAGAACAGATTATGAGGCTGCTCTTTTGCTGGTGATCTTTTAACACAGGAGATGGTGAGCACACCAAGCACTGGATCAGCTTGAAGAACCCCCTGCTCCATTTCCAATTTGCTCTTCCATTCTATTGTTCCTTTGGGACTCCGCTCTTTGTGGTAGTGAAGAGGAGAAAGACACCTCCTGCCTTCAAAATCTATTGACAGAACTTGGCAAAATCAAGGTTTTATCGCTGCTGTGCCACTTAAAGTCAGTCAGAAGCTGCCTTTTGGGAGACATCTGACAGCTATTTAACGTTAGAGATTTAAAAAGCACAAGCTGTGAACAGTGGCAATGCCAGATCCTGTATGACAGCAGAGTCCTGCACTTCACAGCTCCCCACAGCGTGAGCAAAGACCAACGTAACCCCAAGGGTTAACTCAGGCAGCAGTTCCAGCAAGGACCATGGAGATGCACCGATGTTCCAAGTATTTAGGAACCACTGCCAGATTCAGCTGGAAATGCAGAGATAACACCGGGAATTGCTCCTTGCACCAGAGCAGGGATCTGGGACTCTCTCCCTCCTGCATGATGCTGCAATACCCCCATTGACACACACACACTGCCAGGCCTCACGTTTCATCTTCCCCTAAAAAAACAACCCTTCTCTCAGTCCAAATTCCTGTCACACCTCTAACAAAGGGGCTCATTCCCAGCAGAGGAACAGCATCCTGCCTCCAGTCATCACTCTGCTCCTGCACTACACTCAATGAGGTTGCAAGCAGCAGCGCACGTCAAGGATCTGAGTCACAACTGCTGCCAGTGTGCTCAGCCCTCGTGTTGGATGGGACTAATCCAGCCTGGCACCCAAAAGGTCACCCACCTCCCTGCTAGACATTCATGCTTGCTTTAATGACAACAGTGTGCCCAAGCCAGCCTGGACGAGGGGGTGCTGGGGACGGTGCTGCAGAGGCTGCTCTGGCAGCACGCACCAAAAGCTGATAGGATGGTTCTAGGGGCCCTGCTCCAGCACACGAGCTCTTGAGCTTCAGCTGATTCTTTCTTTCCCTCATTCCTCCTCTTTGGGATACTCCAGGGATTGTTTGCAGCCAGCTCTGCTTCAACAGGAGCCGCCAGCGCCGGGCCGGTGACAGATTTACTCTGCACATAACCTGCCTCTTCCCTCACCACCAGCCTGGAATTCACAAGTAGCCAGGGCTCATCCCCTGCTCGCTCTTGGGCTGGACACAGCGAGAGGAACAACATTTCATGTCTGCTGCAGAGGCAGAGCTGGAAAGCAAACACCCAGTACAAGCAGAGACAAGGACCTCCAACTGCACTGCTCAGCCTGGCTGGAGCACAGGTTAGACTCACACCAAGGAGGCAGGAGTTCTGCCTGCCCTTTGCTGCTAGCACAGAGCACATTAATTGCAGAGCAGGGCTGAAAGGGACAGCTGAATCCCTAAATCCCAGTCTCAAAGGAAAAGGGACAGGTTGCCAAAGCACTTCCCTGATTCAAGTGCTTGCATCCCATTGACATTCAAGTCCTATCCCTGTAAGGCACCGAGGTGTTCGCAAAGCCCTTCCCATGTGAGGTTCTAGGATCTGTGCTGGGCAGGATGCTCACAACAGGGCTGGTGGCCTTCAAACCACCTTTAGCATTTCTTTTCAGCACAAGCTACTTGGGCTTTGTTTTGAAGAATAAACCCCAAAGAGCAGCAGTCGGATCTGAGCAGGAATTTCAGCTGCTGCAATCATTAAACCCAGGTACCCATCTGTCACGGTTACACCAGCCACTTCCTCCATGAAGCAACAAAACAAACGGTGTAGAAGTTAGAGAGCAGGAGCAGCGAGGAAGAGGGAGGAAAAAACAGCAAAGAGCAAACTGAAGACTTTCAAAGACGTGGCTTAATGTCTGGGGCAAACATCTCCCTGCCATGGCAGTGATCCTGGGCAGGTCTTGCAGCTGGCGCCCAGATTTTTAATCCAGGGACACAGGGTGACAAAGGGGACACAGACCTTTTCCTTCTGTGTCTCCTCACCTGGAGCAAACTGCATAACCCTGTTCCTGCATTAAAGCAATTGCCTGCCATGAATACAGGTGACAGTGGACATCCCTCTGGAGTACAGAGCAGGAGAGAAAGAGGAAGCACAGAGCAAGTCATGTCATGAGGCTTCCCCTGCAGGTAGAGCTCCTTGCACTGCCACTGCCTTTCCTTCACTGCTCAAGGATTTGGGCAAGCCCAAGACAGCCACTTACTGCTTCCAGCAGATCAGAGAAGAGATGAGTGCCTTTAGTCTTGCCCTGAGTGGTACCTGAAGGGCAGTGAAGGAGGGAAGAGCCGCTGCCAAGTGAGTAAGGAATGAATTGTTCTCCTAGCCCTGACGATCTGAGACTCAGATTCACGTCTCATTTCTCATGCATCACCTACCAGTCACATCACAGAAGCAGCCTGAGCTTCAAGGACTAAAAAGACACTGAAACAAGCTTTAAGGGACCAGCATTAGATAATGGAAAGTTAAAAGATACATACATAGCTATATATATATGTTTCTTGCCTTTTCTGCAACATACAGCTAGGTTAATGGTTGGACTCAATTACCTTAAGGGTCTTTTTTCCAACCTAATGATTCTACATCCATCCACTCCCTGCTTCCTCCCTTGCTCTTGCTCCTCCAGAGGGAAGTCCTGCCTAGCTCTCAGTGCCAGGGGACGACACAGCACAAGCCCTGGTACCATTGAAAAGATCAAGCTCAGTGTTATACTCTCATTACGGAAGAGAGGAGCTGGAATCCTGCACCGCTGGGCAGAGCTGCCATTCACCTGAGGGACATGAGTCTCCCAACAGCAGCTTTCAAATTGCTTCATCCCTCAGGCCACCAGCTTTGAAGTGAGCATCTTACTCTGGCTCACATAGCAGAGAGATGGGAGGGGCCACAGGGGACAGGAGAAGCAAGGCAGGCACAACAGGGGATGGAAGAGTCCAGCAAGGAGTTGTCACCTGGATATGGGCACAAACAGCACCACATCCCTCTTGTGCTGAGGGCTCCAGACCTAGGATCCCAGAATCCTAGACACTTGTAAAATAAGGAGCACTCCAAGCTAAGCTTTAGCAAGCCCTGTAGGTGTCCCAGAGCTCAGAGCACCTGCCTGTTTCCCATCTCTGCAACTGTGAAAAGCTTTGAGACGCTTTTGCAGGGAACTTCAAGCAGGTTCCTTCACCTCCATCCTCTTCAATCCACTCTTCAGAAGTTCCCAGAGGATGGGAAGGAGCCTGCAGGTACAGCATTAGAGAAGTGGAGGAAAGGAACTGCCAGACAGAACAGAGCCATGGTCATTTAGGCCAGTTTCAGCAACCAGGACCAGATGCTGCAGAGGAAGGTGTGAAATCTTAATGGGCAATCATGGAATTGTCTCCCTTCAAGGAAGTGGGTTTTAATTCCAGCACACAGGGGCACAGTGACCACTTTATGCCAAAGAATGAATGTACAGCTTCTGAACAATGTTTATCCAACCTAACAAGGATCAGGACACCTCTGTTCAGTATTTAACCCTATTTTAAAGGCTGTTTGCTCCACACGTGCTAGCAAAGTGCGGCCCTGACCTGGGTGTTAAATGGATTCTACACTTGCTGCCTTTAATTTCTCCAGCAGCTGCTTTACTCTTGCAGCATGAGGCAGGGCAGGTGGGGGAGAAAGAAAACAACAAAGAGCAAAGTAATGGATGGGGTGTCTGGATGGAGGGAGCAAGCACTGCAAAGGGTTTCTGAACAGCAATGCAACGGGACAGCCTGTATCCCTCCACCGATGGGATGGAGACAGGAGACTCCTCCAGGTTACAGAGGAGGGCACATTTAGGGGCTGGGGATTACAATCCAGCTCGCTCTTACTGTGTATGACGACTTGCTGGTGATCTCCAACAGCTTCTGCTTCGCTCTCCGCTCAGACTCACGGGCCTCCTGAAGATCCTGCTTCAGCTGATCAGCCTCCTTCGCCCTACAGACATACAGCAAAAGGCAACTATCAGATGGAAGTTGAGAGGAACGAGAAGCTGGAGGAGCAGCATCACAGTGTAGGTGTGCAATAGGTTGAGATTTGACCCCCAACAAGACCTAAACTAAGAAATCATTGGAGCAAGGGAAATGGCAGAACCTCTGACACGTGGGATGTTTCAATAAGCACAGAACTCCGAGCCACAACGGGGCAGCTCTGCCATGGGCTGTGTGAGCACCAGTGAGCAAGGCCAAGGGCTGGAGAAGTGGACTAAGGCACCAGGACAGGGAGAACTTCAAAAGTTAAGCTCAGACCTAAAGCAGGAGAGGCAGCTCTCTGACAAGTTACCCTCCACTAACAATTATCTGCTGCATTCAAAAAGGAAGCAGCACCCAAGATTTGCCTACCACTAGAGCCCAGCTATTCTAGGACTAGTATTTACCCTCAAGGACTGCCCCCCAAAGAGAAAGCCAAAGGAGGAAGAGTGCTTTCTTTGCTGGACTGAATTCTGAGTGTAGACTTTGTAAGATAGAGACCAAGGCAAGATGAGATGGACAAGGGCAGCGTTCATCCAAGCAGAAGGGCTGATGCCAAACAAGCTCTCACATGGAAAGGAGTAATCAGCTGGAAGGAAACAAGAATGATCTTTTACTTGCTCACTACCAAATGCACCATGGGACCTGGGCTCTGGTATCAAGAGGATGGAAACACCAGGTTTAACAAGAAGCAAGGACTCCAGGAGCTAGGGGTTAGCTCAAGGCTAACCTGAAACAGAGAGCTCACCACCAGGAAGGAGAACTAAAAACAGAGGTAAACAGGAATAAAGAGGGAATAGGGAATGTAGATCTACCATCCAGAGGAAAAAACAACCACAAGTGTTATTAATGTCACATACTTTGAGGAATGCAGTGGGTGTTTGCAGAAATTACCCCAAAGTAGAGCTGCTGCTGTCAGGGCACAAGAGGCACAGGAGGCAGAACACTAAGGGCCTTGGGACCTTCTCCCCTGCTGACAGCCCCTCTCCTTGCTCCCATCACAGAATCCCTCCCAAAAGAAGGCTTTGGAGACAGGTCTCCAGCTCTAATCCAGAGGAAGATCAGGGCCACCACTGCTCTACCAGCACCATTTCCTACCGGGACACAGCCCCGCTGTGGCAAACAGCAAGACAGAGAGAGATGGATGGAGAAACCAGCCAGCCCTGGGGCCACGCACTGCTGTACACGCACAGGAGGCCAAGGGCTCACTGCACACCCTCGGATGGATAAACTCAAGGCATGAGCCACTCTTTCAGCCAAGTCAAAGGGGGTTGGAAAGCAAAGCAGAGGCAGCTGCAAGGTTGGACCCTCTGACCTCCTCTCCGACTCCTCGGCCATTTTCAGTGCCAACATCTCTGCCTCCAGCACCTTCTGCTCCATCAGCCGCTTCTCCTCCTCCGTCCGGATGGCCGTGGCTTTGATCCGCTGCATCTCCTGCTCAGCCTCGGCTGCCTTCTGAGCCAGGAGCTTGGCCTCCTCCTCCGTGATCTGCGCCTTCTCGGCCAGCAAGTCTGCCGTCTCTTCGGACCTCATCTGAGAAACAAGGCACATGGAGCCATCAAGCACACTGAACGTCCCCCCAAATGTGCTCACAGCCTCCGGAGCAGAGCCCTGAGCTGCTCGCTCCACATGGTTGCCCATAGAATCCCTCTCTCCCTTCCATGCAAGCCTGCAGCTTCTGCAGCCAAGACCTGGATGTGCCCAGGCTCTGCTCCAAATCATCCTCCTTTGTGTCCCTCCATCCACCCTCCTGATCACCATCCACCAGCAGCACTTTGAGAACAGAATCACAGAATCAACCAGGTGGGAAAAGCCCTTTAAGCTCATCCAGTCCAACCCCAGCACTGCCAAGGCCACCACAAACCCATAGCACTGAGGGCCTCATCTGCACAGCCACAGGACAGTCACAACGTGCCTCCTGAAACACTTTGGCAGTGGAAAGAGTGAGGAAAAGCTGCAGTGCCTCAGGAAACAACCTACCAGAGCCTCATTGGCCATTGTTGCCTCTTCCTTTAACTGCATCAACCGTCTCTCCAGCTCATCCCTTTTCCTTTCAGCCTCTTCCCTCATTTGCTTCTCTCGGGCCAGGCGCTGCCGTTCCATCTAGGAGAGAGGGATTGGGGAAAGCAAGGAGAAACAATACACATTAGAAAGGCTTTTCATAGCATGAGGAACGGTCACTGTGTGTGGTTAGAGCACAGGACTGCACTGCTGCCTCCTCTCTGCTTATCAACACTGGGAGCTTCACTACATGGGGGTGACCTGACATATTCAGCTCCCTTGTAAAGGGCCATTCCTGAGACAAGCCCTATCCTATCAGCCCTATCAGGCTGTTCCCTACAGCACAGCCACCCAAGCAGGTGACTGCATACCAAAGAGCTCCCCCCTCCACTGCCTCACAGGGCAGGCTCACACAAGGAAGGTCCCAAGAGCTCCAGCTACCCGCAGAGCTCCTTACAGCACACTGACCAGAGAGCAAGGCTGCGCTTAAGGGCAGGCTGAGAGCATCTTCCAAACACCAAGTACAGACACACGGCAAGGCAGGAGCTTGGAGGATGTGGAGAGCTCCTGCTTTGGATCAGGCACCTAACCCAGCGGGCCTGAAACATCACCTCCACTCATTCCTAGGGGAGGGCACAAAGCATGCAACCACCTCTGCCAGCTCCTACATCATGGAATCATAGAACAAGGCAGGCTGGAAAAGCCCTTTAAGCTCATCCAGTCCAACCATTCCCCAGCACTGCCAAGGCCACCACTGCCCCATGGCACTGGGGCCTCGTCTCCACGGGGAAGGTGACTGCAGCCCTGCCCTGGGCAGCCTGTTCCAATGCCTGAGCACCCTCTGGGGCAGGAATTGTTCCTCAGCTCCATCTAAACCTGCCCTGGGGCAGCTTGAGGCCGTTTCCTCTTGTCCCATCCCTTGTTCCTTGGGAGCAGAGCCCAGCCCCTCCTGGCTCCATCCTCCTCTCAGGCACTTGTAGGGAGCCATCAGGTCCCCCCTGAGCCTTCTCTTCTCCACACTGAACCCCCCAGGTCCCTCAGCCCTTCCCCATCACACTTGGGCTCCAGGCCCTGCACCAGCTCCAGTGCCCTTCTCTGGCCCCGCTCCAGCACCTCAAGGTCTCTCTTACAGTGAGGGGCCCAAAACTGAACATAGGATTCAAGGTGCAGCCTCACCAGTGCCCAGTGCAGGGGCACAATCCCTGCCCTGGCCCTGCTGCCGCACTGGTGCTGATCCAGGCCAGGATGCTGGTGGCTTCCTGGCTGCCTGGGCCCAAGCTGCTCACGTTCAGCTCCATCAATCAGCACCCCCAGCTCCTTTCCCATGAGCAGTTTCCAGACGCTGCTCCTCAAGCCTGGAGCATTGCATGGGGTTGTTGTGGCCCGAGTGCAGGACCAGCACTGAGCCTTTTGAACCTCATCCCATCGCCCTCATCTCATGGATCCAGCCTGTCCAGATCCCCTGCAGAGCCTCCTGCCCTCCAGTAGGCCAACTTGGTGTCATCTTCAGGTACACGAGCTCTCTCCCCCAGCTCCACCTGCAGGAAACAGCAATGCTTCCCCAGGAGGGGAACACCCAAGCTATGCTGAGACATCACACCAGAATCCACCACCTCTTCCCAGAAGATGCTGAGAGCATTGTGCAGACAGAATGTGCCCAACCACTGCCTCTCCACTAACCAACAGCCCAAAGGGAGCCATTGGGCTGATAAGCACACCACGTTTAATCCCTCCAGCAGGACAGACTGGGTGTTTTATCAGCATCCCCACTGCAGGCAGGACTCACAGCTTGGCACAGGCCACCCGCTGGCTTTAATAAGGGAAATAAGTGTGACAAAACACATCTCTGCTCCTTGGACACCAACTGTATTCTGAGAGTGAGACTCCCACTGCTCAAACAGCTCTGCTGCCTTCTCTTAAAGGTTTCCCTCATTAATTATCATTATGATCTGCATCCCACTCAGGACCTCCATTAACAAGAATTCCCAATACAAAAGGACGGTCCAGAACCAGCTCCTAACTGCGGGTGCTGGGGAGGGAGGAGAGCAGGCAGCAGCACAGTGGCTACAGCAGGGCAGCCAACCTGAGCAGGAGCCTGACCTTTCCCATAGGGCACAAGTGCTCTGGGTTGGAGAGCTCATGCGAGGTGCCCAGCTCCTGCTGGCCCTCAGCACCCTCACCTCTCCCAGCAGCCCAGCTAAGCACAGATCCCAGGTCCTGCTCATGTTATTCCAACACATAAACCTGCCCCTGAAGCCACCAGCACTTGGACACCTCAATGCTCCTTCCACGGAGAGCTTTTGCTCCACGGCACCAACTCCTTACTGACCAGAGGAAGCAAGAATCCCCATTCCCAGAGGAGCTGGCCTAGTTCTGCTCAGTGACTCATGTCCCATCCTCTCCTGCCCCATGAGCTGCAGGAAGGAGAACTGCTTCAGGAGGTGCCTGTGGGACAAGCCACGCCACATCTCCAGGTCAGCCCAGCACCTCAAGGCCAAGCTCAGCACCATGCAGCCACCTCTGCGGCCATGCTCAAACCCATTAACTTAACAGTCCCTTGAGCATCAGGCCCTCCTGGGTACAAGTGGCTGCTCCGGTTTCTCCTGCTGCAATATAGTGGTTTGATTGCAAAAGGGCCATTTATATTCCAAGCACCAGCACTCAGATTAGCTGTGCAGGTTTCAGGGAGTAGAAAAGGTCTACGAGCAGAAAACAATGATTCAGACAATCCAATTTGCTGATGTATGTTCATTGCCTCCACGCTGGTGCCTCCAAAGAGGCGTTCTCACTGCCTGGGCTGACCTGCGGCAGCTAAAGGGGGCCAGCAGCAGATTAGCATGCAAGCTGCATGCCCCAGCCCCGGCGCGCATTCCATCAGCAGGCAATTAGACAAGGAGGCAAAGAACCTCAGCAAAGCACTGCTCCCCCTCACAGCCTCTGCTTTCCCTACAAGCAAATACCCCCTCACACGGCAGCTTGGCAGCCACGGAGCCCAGGGGTAAAGCAAGGCGGGGAAGATGTGCACACACCTGCAGGACACCCGGAGCAGCTCTTCCCTCCCATCATCCCAGTTTTGTGCTCCAGTATAGGGGCTGGATGCGGGCTGCCATTGGCCTGCAGAGCCAAGCTGGGCATGGCTGGCGAGCCGGGAGCAGTCTATTAACAAGATGTTCACAGGCCCTTCCCTCAAAGCTGCTCCTAGTGCTTGATGCCATTCTGGAGACTGCTCCCTCCCGAGTTCATTTGCAGCTCTGATTTCAGCTCACGGTTTGGTTACAGGAGATGTCTCTCACCTGCTTCCTGGCTTTCTCCTCCCTGGCCTGTGCTTTCATCTGCTGGACCTCCAACGAGTCTGCCTTCCTCCTCCTCATGAAGAGGTCGTGGTTTCCAATGCACAGCTGAAGAATCTATTCCAGTCGAGGGTGAAGAGCGGAGAGAAAGAGCTGTACACATGACGACCAGGAGGTGGTTTGTATTCCTGACACACAGAGCCACTACAGCTGCTTGGGTCTGGTGCTTGTAAGCACCTCCACCCACTATCCCAAACCCTACCATAGCTCCCTGGTCCTCACTGCCCCCCTTTCTTTAGGCTCAAGATCAACTTGTGCCTTCTCTCAAGTGCATGTGTCAAGCACTGAGACTAAAAAAAGAAACAAAAAAAGAGGAAGAAAAACCTTTTCCATTCCATTTTATAAAAAACCTCCTTGAACATCCCCAGATACTTTTGCTGAAGGGTTTGAGGACCACCATGGGTTCCTCTGGTACTCAAGGAGGACACAGGAGGTGGCAATACTAGAGGAGGGTTAGCAAAAGGATGGGTACACAAGAGAGTGAAAGCTCTTCTCAGCAAGAACAGCAGGTTCTAAACTGGGATTCCTTTCTAAAGCACTGATTCACAAGCCCATCTGCTGTTTCACTTCACAGGTCACAAATGGCTTCTCTGGAGTCACAGGAGCTTCAGCACTATGAACGTGGTGCAGTGGATGTGGTTATGTCAGGAAGCCCCACTTCCCTAAGGCATGGGAAGTACAGGACAGGCTCCACCAGGACAGCAAAGGACCCTCATGCAACTTAGCGACGGTGCACAACTACTACAGGACCTGGATCAAAGCTCCTCCAGATACCAAATTCACAACACTGGCTAAAGCTGGTCTCTAACACGGATGCTCAACATAGCCCCCCCCATCCTTGTACAAGGAGAGTGTCCTCAGAGGGGACCAGCCTAGCAAAAGCCAGGACTGTGCCTGGCAATGGTCCCAGAACAGGGAGATCTACATCATAGGGCAGAATGGGAAAGGTCTGCAGAAGAAAGGGGATCTGGAAAAAAAGATCACAGAATCCCAGCCTGGTTTGGGTTGGAAGGGACCTTAAAGCTCAACCCCCTACCATGGGCAGGGACCCCTTCCACTAGAGCAGCTTGCTCCAAGCCCCTGTGTCCAGCCTGGCCTTGAACACTGCCAGGGATGGGGCAGCCACAGCTTCTCTGGGCACCCTGTGCCAGCGCCTCAGCACCCTCACAGGGAAGAGCTTCTGCCTCAGAGCTCAGCTCAGTCTCCCCTCTGGCAGGTTAAAGCCATTCCCCTTGGCCTGTCCCTACATCCCTTGTCCCAAGCCCCTCTCCAGCTTTCCTGCAGCCCCTTCAGGCACTGGAGCTGCTCTAAGGTCTCCCCTTCAGGAGCCTTCTCTTCTCCAGGCTGACCCAGCCCAGCTCTCTCAGCCTGGCTCCACAGGATGAGGTGACAAGAAGGTTTTACTCACTGAGTGCTTCCACCGTGCAGGTCAACCCAAGGGCTCAGCAAGGGAAAACAGGAGAGGGGGGAAAGATGTTCTGTGAACAAGCTTGACTTGAGCTGCCCCTTCCTCTTCTCGAGCCTCTCAGTAGTAACTGCTACCAAATGACACCTAAAGCCCAGGCAGGCCAGCACACTGCCTCTGCCTGCTCCAAGGAAAGCCCCAAAAGAACACTGCCTCGTACTGCCTGCAGAAACTACTGCTGCAGCCCATAAAAATGACTCCGTCTGGAGACTTACCAGCTTATTCACACGCAGCTTTGATGAATTGAATTTAAAAACATCAATCTTTTTGTCCAATGGCTTAATGGTAAACTGAAAAGGGAAAAATAAAGAGGGAGAGAGTTATCAGAGAGCAGTGCATTTAATAAAGACACAGCTATAAATGTCTTACTGAAAGCTTTGGCTCGGAGGAGGTCAGCAGTGTCAGACAAACAAGGCTGAGAGCTGTCCCTGTGGCTTTTAGCCAAGCAAGAGAATCAGTATCAAAAGCAAGCAAGGAGACAACTGTCCCTCTGCTCAGACAAACGTGAGGCCACAGAAGCAATGAGAGTGCTGTCTACCCACAGGCTGCAACACAGCAACTTGCAGAGGGCAGAGGCAGCCTAGCACCTCCGGAGGCAGGATGCTGCTCTCCTGCTGCTCCAGAGAACAGAGAAACTACAGCAGGAACTCCTGATGCTTCTGGAGGAAGGGAGGAAGAACCAGCTCAGGTGCCTGATGGTGGGTAGGAGGTTGCATGAGGAACACAGCAACAGGAGCTACTGCCCTGCCCAGTGACACCTCCACTCACAAGGGCTGCCCAGGAGGGTTTTGGTCTCTGGCAGTCAGCCCTGTCACAAGCCCTGTCACTCTGAACTCCAGTATCGTCTCTCTCTGTATTCACACTCTAGGTACCAACCAAACAGCTCCAGCCATGGCTTGGAGAGCAGGACACAGGTGGCATGACCAGACTCCAGCAACCCAACCCCTGCATAGACAGGTAACTCTGCACTAGCTAAAAGGGCACTTGAAGAGCTGGAGTGCTCACAGCACAGCATTCCTTAGCAGCACGCTTGTATTCCATCACTCTGCCACACACTGCAAAACCACCCAGCTGAGACAGCACTCGAGCAGTCTGTGTCCATTAAAGCAGGCCTGTTTGTCAAGCCATGGCACTGCCTGACCAGGGCTGGGCAGAGCTGGCCCTGGCAGGGCTTTGTTTCATCAGTTTAAGAGCCAACCTTTAGACTTACACACAGGCAGATGTGAGTGCACGTCCCTGGACTGAGGCTCCAGCACAGCCCTACCAGGCCTGGAAAGCAACAGCCAGGAGAGGAACTGCAGCTCCAGGTAAAGAGCCAGTCTTGCTTGGGCTGGATCAAAGCCCTCTGTGGCTGATGGAGCTGTCATAGCCAGCTGTTGAGCCTGTTTACTACCATGTCAGCTCTACTCGTGGTCACTTCATTACACAGATCAGTGACCTGATGGAAGGTAACAGTCCCTTCTCCCAGGAGAAAGCTCTGTTACAGGCTTGTGTCAGGAGCTGGTTAGGGAGGCTCCTGAGGCAATCACTGAGCAGGCAGCTGCTGCTGCACTCGTCTGTCACAGGCAGGAAAGCCCTTGGAAGTCACCAAGCGTGGGGCTGTCCTGCAGAGCTGGGAAGCTCTTCATTCTTAGACAAGAACTCCAGCACGGCCTCACTGCGCACAGAACTGCACAAGACGTGCAATAAATATGAGGAACCTTCAGCTTCCACCCTGATCAATATCAGCATTAGCTTAGAAAACCATTTCTAATTAAGAAACTCATTTTCTTCCTCGCCACGAGGCAGCTCCTTCCCTTGAGCTGCTGTCTCAGACTGAAAACCGAGCCCATCAGCTCACCCTCCACTGCCAAGTCCATTGCCGTTCCCAACTGGGTTTGGTGGCCAACGACTCAGAAGACTCATATTTATGCTCTGGATTTAATAAGTATCTACCCCAACAGCAGGCTTAAACTACCCAACTTCCTAAAAAGATTCCAGCTGTCATGCCAAGCCTGGCAGCCTGAAAACCCCGGTGATGTAATGAGATGACAAGAGCTCTTCTCACCAGGAAAACACCTCGCTATTTCATAAAACAGTATATAGACACTGGAATACATAGTGGGTACACTGGAATATACAGAGTAAAGCAGAGAGCTCAGCTTCTGAGCTCTGGCCTTACCTCTTTATCGCTGTATGAGATATTGCGGATCTCGTTCCATGGGAAGGAGATTTTAGGGGTCAACCTGTTGTCTGGGTCATAAATGTGAAGACCCAAGGCATCCACTCCAAGGAGCAGCTCGGTGCCCTTTTTGTTCTGCAGGAGGAAAGAAAAAAGCAGAAACCCCTTTAATTCCACTAGGGAGGGTTGACATGACCCATTGCTAGCTTCATCACCCAGCCCTGAGCAGCAACCCACCAGCACTGTGCATCTGAATAGCTTCTGGAAGCATCAGAAGGACCTGGAAAAAGGTTCCAGGAAGAGCTTGTAACGGTCTTCCCATACCTAAAGGGGTCGACAGGAAAGCTGAAGAGAGGCTTTGGACAGGAGCCTGTAGGGACAGGCCAAGGGGAATGGCTTTAACCTGCCAGAGGGAAGACTGAGCTGAGCTCTTAGGCAGAAGCTCTTCCCTGTGAGGGTGCTGAGGTGCTGGCACAGGGTGCCCAGAGAAGCTGTGGCTGCCCCATCCCTGGCAGTGTTCAAGGCCAGGTTGGACACAGGGGCTTGGAGCAAGCTGCTCTAGTGGAAGGTGTCCCCTGCCCGTGGCAGGGGTCGGAACAGGATCGGAACTTTAAGGTCCTTGCAACCCAAACCAGGCTGGGATTCCATGACACAGCTTCTGACACTGATCTTGTCTGAAGAAGAGCTCCTGTGGGAGCAGCTCTTCACCTCCAGCCATGTAGCACCACTGCAACAACGTCTCCCAGGTCTGCTGGCTCTTCAAAGCTCCAAATCCCACAGCAACACAAAAGATGAACACAAGAGCTACACCAGCAAGCAGACACGTCCCACAGCGTGCACTCACCCTAATAGCAAAATAGTTCACTCCATACATCTCCAAGTCCTGAGCTATCTTCAAATACTCCATTTCAGCTTCATCTCTGTCAGGCAAAGAAAGGTCAGCGTTACAGTGTTCAGCAGGATCAGGGAGAGAGGCACGACTGCTCCTTCTAAGCCTAAGCACTCACAAGCTTTAAAACCTGGACTGTGTCTATCACACAGGTCAATCCTGTCTTTGCTGGCAAGATCAATAAAGTCCAACAGCAAATCCCACTCTGCAGCTTGCCAGCATCTTAATGGCTGCCAAGGCCTTGAAAGATGCAGCACTTCAAGCTTTGCTTTGTCTGTCTCCCAATCCCTTGGGCATAATTAGGAAGTCCTTGGCTGGGAGGATCCATCTGACTTCAGGCTTATCCACCTGACAAGGAGCAGTTTTCCACCTGAGGCAGCAATAACACTTCATCAGAACACATCCCCACTTCTTTTCCGGGCTCCCAAATCACCCTGACCCCAGGCAGCAGGCTGCTCACCTCCCTGCCCTCTGCAGGTGGCCCAGCACAGCATCAGGACCCTGTCACTGACCTGAGGACAGCAAAGAAAGCCCTTTGCCCTTCGTGAGTGTGCTGCAGAGGTGCGCTGGGATTAACCCTGCTGCCAGCAGAGCTCATCCATCACCTGCCCAAGCTCCCCAAACCCTGTGGTCCTGATGGGACTGACCCTGAGGCAGCACTGCAGCACACACTCACCTCGCTCTGCCCCGGTGCTCTGCATACCAGGCTGTTATCCTCTCCTCCCACATCTCCGGAGTCATCTGGTACAGGTTTATCACCTGAGACACGTGGGGAGACAGAGACCAGGTCACACTGAGCCAGCAACACCCGAGCCCCAGGCACCCTGAGACAGCCCCACATAGACCCTCTGTGCAGAGGCCTTGGAAAGCCACCACTCCTCTCAGCCAAGCTCCTTACCCGCTTTGGGAGCAGCTCCTCTTGTGCCAGGAAGCCTCTCTTGTGCACGTTGGGATCGTAATCGCCGTACTGCAAAGAAGCACAGACATTGTGCTCACCCCACCTTAACACCACGGGCAAGGAACACGCTTCACCCCACACATCCACCCCGTGGGCAGGCAGCAAACAGCACTTCCACCCCACACCTCACACCCTCCTGCAGCAGAGAGCAGAGGCTGCTCGATGGGTTTAATAACCAGATTCGCTTTGTTATTTGATTGCTGATAGGAACTGACATCCCCCTCATGCAGCAGAGGTGGAAGCACAACAAACTGCCCACCATTGGCTGATGTCCACCCTCCAGCCAGTGTCCACCATCATAGAATCACAGAATCATTTAGGTTGGAGACCTTTAAGACCATTGAATCCAACCATAAAGCCATTCCTTCCCAAAACATGCATCCTCCAGGACAGGAACAGACTAACACTGAAGTAAAGCCCTGAGCAGCACTGGATTTCCACCGACTCTACCAAGCCTGTGTCCACCATCTATCCTACATCCTCCACTTGCACCAGATGATTGCTGTAAGTCCTTTCCAACAGTTCTATTCCACTCTGGTTACCATGCCCAGGAAACACTTCCTCCAATACAGGGAAAGACTCTGTAGGAGAGGGATCCTTGCTGTCATCCTGGTATAGAGACAGGGAGTCAAGATACAGACAAAGACCCTGTCCCCAAAGACTGTCTGATGCCAGTGGTTGAGGTGAGGCAGTTTTTCTGCTGCTGCTCACCACCCTCCTGGAAGACAGAACACACAGGACTTGGATAGACTTCTTTAAGGTGCCAATTTTTCTGCCAGAGGGTCTGTTGCTCGACTGCGGCACGGACCCCAATTGGGATTTGTGAAGGGCAGCCAGAAATCAGGGCTATTTGTTCAGATTTGCATCTTTCTGAGCATATGAAGTGACTGAGAAACAAACATGCTACAGAGTGAACAGCCAAGCGCTCCTGCTGTGCCTGGGAGAATGGATTTACCTCCTGGACAGCCTCAAAGAGCAGGAAAGCACCAGAAACACACACCTCGAATAAGCCAGCAAGTTCAGGAGGACGGTGGATGTGAGGCACGTCCATGGAACGCTGTGATTTCCATTCACCTGCAAGCAGGGTTCTGCAGTAACGCTCCCCAGTTACACAAGGCACGGTGATGTGTGCTCAAGTCACTGCTTTCCTGAAGAACCTCAGCTCAAGAAGTACCAAATGGTGACAATCTTTCAAACCAAGACCAAGACGCATGTGGTGGTCATGTCCTAGGTCAGGCAGCTCCATACCAGCCTCCTTTTAACACCAGAACCAGCACGTCGTACACTGAAACCAGAGCTCAGCATCAAACATCTCCACAGACACCCTTGTTTCAGAGATGAGAAGCAGGGATTAAAGAGGCAGATGTTGATCTGCAGCCAGTGCAGATGCAAAGGAAGCATGCAACAATCAACACTGACTCAGACTTCAATTAACAGAACAAAACCACCATGGATTTCAGCTGTTTTCCAAGGTCTCCACAGATGCTTGGAGGTCCTCAGAGACCAGCATGCTGCAGGTACACACCCCTTGAACCCACATCAAAAGGGAAGAGCCGTAACAACGTAGTGCTGGCAAACAAAACAACTCCAACACCCTTGGAGAGGCAGGAAATAAATCACTTGTAGGTGATGAAAAGAACAGCAAAGAGGATTAATGTGATTATATTGGGTTGTGATCTACCAGAGAGATCCAAGACTAAGTATGGATTATGTGATTTGCACGTGGTGAAAAACATTGCTGTGTCCCAAAGGAATATTTGTACTGAGGAGCCTGGATGAGAACATTGATTATCCACAAGTCAAACATCAACAAACAGCTCTAAGTATTGCAGTATATGTTGGCGGAAATGATTTGGCAAACATACTTCTAAAGACCTTTTCAGTTAAATCAGCACTTCAAAACTGTCCTGGAATTGCAGCTCCTGTTAATAGAACAACGATTAATATTCACGGATACCCATGGAAAGTGCCTTTACCTCATTCATACCCTTGGCTTATTGTCCTGGATAAACACTGGCATGTTCAGCTTCAAGCTATTGACACCAAGTATTGCTTGTCTGGGAGGAAAATGAACTAAAATGCAAGCAAAGAAGAGCCCTTTACAGTGCTACAGGATGTGAAGTGCTGAGGGGGCTGCAGCAAGCAGGGATCTGCATTTAAGGGGCAAGAAACAGAAGCACCCCTGGACATCCCCATGTTCTGCTGGGTGCATGTCTCAGTAGACCCCAGGCTATTTAAAACCTGAACCATATCCACCACCTGAAAGCAGCGTGGCTGGTTTGAACCAGGGCTAGAGGGAAACACAGTAATTCCCCAAATGAGCCCCCTAACACAGAAATAAATAAGGGCTTATTGTAATGACCCCCGTGCTCCCTTTGTTATTGCAGTTAGGAGTGCAGCAACAGCCCAACCCAAGCTGGCTGTCATTCAAGTGGCTGTTATCAGATGCACACACACCTCTATGTCAGGCTGTTATGGCCCTAATCATGCAGATCAGCACGTTGTTAGTGAAATTACTGTGCTCAGTGGCCACTCTCTTGACCAGGAAGGACACATTTATCCTATTGAACTGGGAAGGAGATGACCTGCAACATCTTTCTCCCCAATTCTACACTGAAGATGTGCTTTCAGCTTCCTCCTTGCCTGAAAAAGGACAAGAAGGAGGGGAAACCCCGCCTGGAGCCTGGCTAGTCTGCAGGAGCAGCAAGGAAAAGTGCTGTCTGATGCTGACATGAAAGCACATTAGCAGAGAACAGAAAGGGCATCACAATCTCTGTGCAGAATCAAGGTTAAAAGAACTGCTCTGACTGCAGCCAAGTGTTGAGCACGTCAAGTGTGCTACTGAGCCCCAAGGGCAGCAGCTGAGCTGGGAGAAGGGAAAGGGGCTGGTACAACAGCCCTGAACCACATCACAGCCTCTTCCCAGCCACACGAGCAGAAGCTGTCACAGCCAAGAGTTAACAGCGCTCGATATCTACTCAATGGTTTATTCATTCCTGCAACAGGGAATGTCATCCCCTCCGTATCCTCAGCTCAGCAGGTCAACAGAGGAAAAGGCAAGTGTGTGCTCAGGCACTCTAATAAGTGATGAATGCTGGACTCAAACAGCAGCGTTTGGAAAAGCAACTTGTCCTTCCCCTGATGGGTCTCTCCAACAAAACACGGCTCCATCAATATTCTGACAACGAGGAGAAAACCTTTTCCTAGTAAATTCAAACATTCATCACCAAAGAATATCAGTGCACATCACCCAGGGCTGCAGCCTGTACACAGCTGATGGGCTGTGAGGCCCATTATATGGCAATGACAGCAACAGGATGAGGAGCAATGGCCATAAACTAAAGCAGTTTCACCTCAACATGAGCAAGAGCAACTTTCAGCTGAGGTGGTAGAGCACTGGCACAGGCTGCAGAGGGGTTGGTGGCATCTTCCTCTCTGAAGACATCCCAAACCCACCATCCCAGGACCCCAGAACCTATGTGATTCCATGTGTGACCTGCTCTGGGTGGCCCTGCCTTGGCAAGGGGCTGGACCTGGATGACCTCCAGAGGTCCCTTCCAACCCCAATGGTTCTGTGATGCAGAAAAAGCCATGGGGGAACACTGAGGACAACCCCTGGTTACAAGCAGCCTGGACCAGGCCCTCTCTTCAGGCAGCAGAGCCAAACCCCCTGTCCTGCACTGTCAGCTAAAGGGGTCTCACAGACCAGAGCCACCCTGCTCCTCTCAAACTGCTGCTCCTCAAGGACAGGGATAGGGCCCGGCCACCAGCCTGAGGTCCTGTGAGCCAAAACACCTCCCTGCATCCCAGTCCAGAGTTAGGACTGCCTGCAACAGGAGGCTACAGCAGTACCATCGCTGGGCTGCGATCAGACCCACTCCTTTCCCAAAGACATCATCTCTACACACACCAACTGAAGATCAGCTGCAGGAGTTGTTAATTGAGCAGCAGGACATGCTGTGCATACACAGGATAAATTCCTTCCCGTCCTGCTAGAACGTTTCGACTTCTCAACCTCGGGCAGCTCCCTCTGCTGTGGGCTGCTGCAAGCTGTCCAAGGCTGCCTGCTCCAGACAGGAAATCCATGTTCTCCTAAATAAATCCTCAGCAAAACACAGACTCCACAGCAGAGGAATGAGGGGAATTTGGTGACCGCTGATGTCTTCCTCTGCCTAGCAAGGCCAAACGGCCAAGATCAAACCCAAGGTCAAGGGAAAAGCCAGGAAGAGCCCTTTAACACTGCAATAACATCATGTGGCAGAGATGCAGACTCAAACTAAAGTGGTTCTCATGATGACAAGTATTCTGGGGGGGCAGCAAACCCTAAGTCCCACAGCTGGTTTGCCTTTGGATACAGCAGTAAAGGAGCAACATCAACCCATCACTAGCTGTGCTGCCCCATCCCTGGCAGTGTTCAAGGCCAGGTTGGACACAGGGGCTTGGAGCAAGCTGCTCTAGTGGAAGGGGTCCCTGCCCATGGCAGGGATTGGAGCTGGAGGAGCTTTCAGGTCCCTCCCAACCCAAAGCCAGCAGGCCCCTGGAGCATCCCCCTGTGCTTACCTTGGCTTGGACAGCGTATGAGGCCAGCAGGACAGAGGCTTCAGGAGGACAGTAGATCTTCTCATCCAAAATCTGCTTCTTCACCTGCACGCAGCAAGGGACACAGCACACGCATTCAGTGGAGCAGTGCAAAGCATGACTGGCACAGCAGATGGGTGCAGTTTGCTTTATCTCGAGCTGTCAAGCACACGGTTAACACTGTTTCTAACACCCGTCACAGCTCAGGCCAGGAAGTATCCGGTGGCTGGGAAGGGAAGGCTCAGCCTTTCAAAGGCCCCCTTTTTCAGAGAGGTTTGTGAGAAGAGCTTAATTTATCTGTGGAAAATGACAGAACCTGGAGCCCCCTGCTAAAGGCAAGAGGCGGGGAGAAGGTCTGGTGTGTAAACACGGAGCTAAAACCTCCTAAGGCAGAAGCTATGGACTGATGGGACATTATCCACAGCACTAAACCAAACAGAAGTTTGCAGTAAGCCTCTGAGCACACAAAGGTTTTGCTCTGGGATATTCAGGCCTCATTATGAGTCAGTGCTCACCTGTGCTGGAGGCTAATTCTCCCCAATCCCAGAGGCAGTGCTTTTAGAGCAGGCAAAGCCCTGCAGAGCCTCCCAGAGGAGCACACGTGCAGCTCCCAGCAGCCACAGCTTTACCTTTCCTGGCTTCTGCATATTAAATAATTCAACTTGTCATGTTTGATAGTTTTGGGGTTTGCACACTTTATTTTCCTGAATAAAGGCAGGAAAAAAACCCAACATTCCATTTCCTGAGAGACTTAAACGGATTGTCACAGAGATGCAGCAACATCAATCTGAATTTGTAACATGCTGAGTCCTCAGCTCTGGTTACGACACAAGCACAGAGGATATTCTCCTGCAGTAAGATAAAACCAGGAGAGTATGCAAGCTGATGTGTGCTTCCATTTCCCACACGTGTTACAGGAGCCCCATCGGAAAGCCAAGTAGCAAAGCCACAGTCTGCATTTGTAACACACAGCTTTAACTGCTTTTCCTCTGATTTTCCCTTTCAAAGATGCCAGCAACGTTTTTCCTCATCAAGGATAAAGCCCGTGGCAAAGCAGACGCTTTAAAACGGCGCCAGAGAGACACCAGTGCATGAAAGACACCCTGGGAATCAACAGCAACGCTCTGCATTTGGAAGGCCTTCAGCTCTTCAGAACAAAGATGAACTTTGGAAGAGCGAGGAGCAGCACGAGCTGGTGAGCTCACTGTGACAGGCAGCCAGGGCACACTGAATACAGGGGTATTTCCTGAGCATCCAAATCCAGCTGAGGCGCTGGCACAGGGTGCCTAGAGAAGCTGTGGCTGCCCCATCCCTGGCAGTGTTCAAGGCCAGGTTGGACACAGGGGCTTGGAGCAAGCTGCTCTAGTGGAAGGGGTCCCTGCCCGTGCCAGGGGTTGGAGCAGGAGGAGCTTTCAGGTCCCTCCCAACCCAAAGCCAGCAGGCTGGGATTTCATGACACAGCTTCTGACATCAATCTTGTCTGAAAGAGAGCTCCTGTGAGAGCAGCTCTTTGTTACCAGCCACGCAGCACTGCTGCAACAGCATCACCTGAGCTGGTTTCTCACCACAAAGGTCTATAGTGTGCTCTGAATAAAGACAAAAGCCTGAAGATGGGTTCACCACTTTCCAAATGCTTAACATAAGGGCAGGAGTTACAGGGGCAGGTGGGACCTGTTGGTTTCCTCTTCTCCTCTGCCTTTGCCATCAGTCTCCAACAGAGCTTCTGGGATTTCCTCCTGCTCCAGCTCTTTGAAGGCTGTTCTGCAGCAAGGTGAACCTTGCTGTACAGCCTGAGCAGGACACAGGCTGCCTGCGTTCTGCTCTGGAGGATGAAATCCCCCTGCTTCACAGAAGGATGCTCTCATATAAAGGCAATCACCACCCCTCAGCAGAGCCATCACCACCCCCTGGGGAGAGGTGGACTCCAAGGCTGTGTGTGTCACTCCAGCCCATGCTGACAGGTCCATTTCCCCCAGCTACCACACACTACCATTACCAATCACCTGCTCATTCCTGAGAGCTGCTTTAGGAGGTCTGCAAGTCTGCTTCAGGCAGACAAACCATCTTTGGCCTGTTTTAAGAAGGTTCTGATGTTGAAGACACTCCCCTTGGAGAGATGGGAACACAATGATAAGGATGAACACTCTGCTGAGCAAGCTTCTGAACCTGAGGCCTTAAAATCATGGAATCGTAGACTGGTTTGGGTTGGAAGGGACCTTAAAGCTCCTCCAGCTCCAACCCCTGCCACGGGCAGGGACCCCTTCCACTGGAGCAGCTTGCTCCAAGCCCCTGTGTCCAACCTGGCCTTGAACACTGCCAGGGACGGGGCATCCACAGCTTCTCTGGGCACCCTGTGCCAAACCTTCTTGCACTTCTGCTTACCCTGGCTCCTTCACCCTTGGGTTAGACAACAGTGTCCTGAGAGGGCTCCTACCTGCAGGAAGAACAAGTGTTGTGTGATTTCCTGGACCAGCTCCTCCTCTGCATTCTCAGGATAAAATTTGGCCAGGAAGTGAAAGGTGACGGGCTCCTCTGTTGGAACATCATGATCCAGAACCTGTGGGATACGACAGCCATTCAGTTACTCTTCCCAGCTTCTTCAGCACTGTCTCTTGGAGCCCAGACACAGCTCCCTTCTGTTGAGATCAGCATAACTTTTGTCAAACACTTTACATCTAGAGAAACCAACCTAAATAGTTCAGAAACCACAGCTAAAAAAAGAACCCCAACGTTTCTGACACTTCTAAGGATGCAAGGAAACAACAGCAGCACAAACAAAGAGCATGTGAAATGAGACAGCCAAGGCTGATCCCCACTGCTCTGCACACGTGGGCTCTATCCAGCAGCACCGGGCGATGCCGTATCCTGCCACGCCACCACCCGACCTCCTCCTTGCTTCCCTGCACTGCCTCCTCTTGTATTTATTGCAGTGCTGCTCCTCACGACTTTTCTCTTGCATTGGCACTGTCTGGTTTGGATTCATGTCAGTTCAAAGCCTTGCCATGACTCACAAGACACCCAGACCTCCCTCATGGCCTCAATTACGGATGCTTTTAGCATCACATCCTCTGGAACAGACTCACCACTATTGCCTCCTAACCCACCCCACAGCAATCAGGAGGCTTGTGTATGTGGGAAGCATTTTCTCCCCTATCTCTACCTCCTTTTCCCTCCTCCCTAACTCTGTGAACATCTCAGCAGCAGAAGCCAAGAGGCAGCTTCACTTTTCCCCTAATGGTTTTGTTATTCAGGGGCACAGAAGAGACTTTCAGGCTTCATGCATGTTACAGGCACCCTCAGGTCCAGCATCCTAGCAGGGATGTATCCCAAAATGCCTCAAGGGGATTCTGTGTGAATGGTCTGAGGCTTCACAGCTCCTAAGGAGGTGGGCTGGGGTATCCCTGGCAGCTCTTCCCAGTCTGACTGACACAGGGATGAGATTTCAATACACTTCACCCAGTTCACTTCAATACCAAAGAGAACACAACCTCAGGCACTCAAAGAGGAAGGTACATCCTCCCGTGTCATCCCACACAACTTCCCAAGGGAAATTTGGTTCCAACCTTCTTGTCCATTTTAAGCCAAGCCACCGTATCCTTGATAGTGTACTGAAGCCCAAAGAACCAGGTTTCCCGGAGCCCAAGTGTCCTGCACACCAGATCAAACAGGTCCTTCCCTTTCCACTTCACCTGCAGGAAAGCAAACAGGAAGCAGAGTTAGAAGGATGGATTTTAGAACATCACTTCCATCATCCAAATCCACTCTTCTTTCCCCTCACAAGGTCTCTGAGTGTGGAGAAGGCATCTAGTACAGATAAGAAAGCATCCTAATGAAGTAAAGAAGCCTGGTTTGGGTTGAAGGGACCTTAAAGCTCATGCAGTGCCAACCCCTGCCACGGGCAGGGACACCTTCCACTAGAGCAGCTTGCTCCAACCTGGCCTTGACATCCCTCCATCTGATCCCACCTGCAGATCACCAGCTCAGCAGGAAACTGAGATGCGATTTCCCCCTCCCAGAAACACCCCTGCAAAGCCTCTGTTTCCTCTGGCAACCCACCAGCACTCAACAGAGGGACCTGAGGGGTCCTTTCAGTTCCTTTTGAGCCCCACACTGTTTCCAGCAAGAAACAAAACCCACTTTGGCTTCAACACCTGTACCCATAGCCCCAGGAAACGCTCACGATCTCCAGTGTCAGCAGAGGTTCTCTCAGAGCATGTTTCGATAGAGTCAAACTGCATTTGCTGCTGGAAACGGAGGTGACAAGAGCAGCTCAGTGTCCTCCGAGCAGTCCTGTGCCTGCATCTCTGCTGCTGCTGAAGTTTGCAGGAGGTGTTGGGAGGCAGGAAGGTGAAGAGGGACATAAACCAGATGAATCGAATGTGCCAAAACCACTTTGGTCTTCCATCTGCACGGTGGAAACAATTGCTGGGCCGAGCCATATGGCCATCACTCTAAAGCCCCAGGGCAAAAGGATCTGGGCACATCCTCTTGTCCCTGCACCTCAATCTTGGTGCCACCTGGACAGCATCAATATTAATGCTGAGGCAGTGCAGGGCTGGCTCCTGCTGTCCCCCACTGCCACCTCATGGGTACAGCCACCCAGGACCAGCCTGTTACATGCTGCTGCTTGGATTCAATGAGGATGGCTTTATTGTACCCCTTCCCAGGGCACACAATGCACCTGGAACAGCACAAACCCACCACCCCAGAGGCTTGCCACAGCCTCTCTGCCATTCACATCAAGCACTGGCAACACCTCGAGGTCAAAAGCAGCAGGAGCAAGTTTTGTGGTGCTGTGATTATGAGCCCCTAATTCCACACATTTCCCTGGCCTCTGCTGGCCACCAGCTCGGCACAGGAGGGCTCAGATGCAGAACATCTTTCCCTGGCTATTATGTGAAGAGGGAGGTTAATTTGGGAGCTGAGACAAAACAGAACAAGACACATTTAAAGAGCTCTTTTGTTTCTGCTGGCACATCAAACTGAGCTGCCATCAAAGGGCTGCTTCTCGACTAGAATTAAACTGCTCTGCATAAACCCTCCCCAGCTTTTTATCTTCTCCTTCTGCAAAGACATTTCAGCTTGAGGGGAGCCATCGGTGCCTGCACACACACAGCCCTGCACCAAACCTGTCCCAGGACAGGCTCCTGCGTGTATCTCCTCCCTGGACACTGCTCTGCATCCTATGGGATCCGTGTTGTGAACACATACATCCTCCATCTGGGATCCCCACCGGCCGCAGAGCTCCACACAGCTACCCAAACCTCATTCCTACTCACCCCACTGCAGCAACAGGCACAACCCAAAGCTTTCCTCCCCAAACGCAAGCAGTTTCAGAGCATTAAAGCAAGAGCTTTGTGTGTTCCCCTTCCAGTTTTAGTTTGGTGGTGGGAGCAGCCGAAGGCATTGCTCCTGCAGCTGGGTTTTACACCGCTGCTCTATCACCTCACACGTGCGTGTGGCAGGAATAACGTGTTTAACATTCCTGCCTGCACCGTGCTGAAGTCTCCCGACCATAACGTGGCACAGACATCCTCCCCGAGTGTGCTGAATTACCTTCATTAAAGATATAAATGGAACAGCAGCCACATTTGCTCCAACATACATTTCATTCCACACCTCGGTACTTAAAATAACGATCTGCATTCAAGCGGCAGGCTTTGACAGCTCAACTCCAACTGCTCCGCGGGCAGGGCAGGCAGCAGCTCGGCCCTCCTCACCCTCACTTGATGGGCTTCGTGTCATTAACTGCCACATTTCCTGCTTGTAAAAGCCAGAACCGGCACCCCGAGGCAGGAGGGGATGAAGAGAGCTGCTGGCAAGGGGCTGGGGGACAGCCAGGACGGCGGAGCAGCTCCTCATCCTGTCCTCAGCCCGTAACAGCATTCCTTGCTCTGAAGTGACACCTGAAGCACAAAGATGGTTTTGCAAGGCACTACCAGCCCCTGACAGCAAAGCGCAGAGGTTCAGAGCAGAGAACCCTCTCAGTTGTGTGCCACAGTGGCTGCCACAGAGCTCAGCCTGCCACTGAAACCATAACCACCTGAACCCGGAGCGGGAGGCATCACTTCAGCACCCTCCACCGTAGCTCTGGGCTCTCCCATGAGCACAGCCACAGCACAGGGTGTCAGATCTACCCGGTGAGATGCTGGAGGAATACGTGGAGAGCTGCTTTACAAACAGAGGGAGCACTGCAAGGCTGTTTCTCTGCAGAGCAGGAATTTATGTGCTCTACTAAGAAGGGAGCGCTCGGGATTTATCAGCAGAGCGGTTTAAGTAAACAGCACTAAACACTGAAAACTCAGCAGCCAGTGGCTCGAACGGAGCCATTCCAGCCCGGGTTATTGGCATCATCATTTTCTCCAGGGGAGACATCGCATTTGGCATCTCTTAACAGGGTTTGCATTATTTATTAAGCCGCACCAAGAGTCATTTCCAAGCAGCAGGCAACGGGACAATTTATTTCAGTGCACAACCTTTCTGTCAGGTTTCACAAGTGCTCCCGAGCCAGCGAGTCAATAAAGCAACCAGGGAACAAGCACAGGGGTTACGGGATCCCCCCCGTGTGGGTGACGAGGAGGGAGGCCAAGCAGTGCAAGAACTGGGTGCCAGAGGGTGCAAGCATCCTGCATGGAAAGAGCTGAGCAGGGAGGGAAGCGACTCCCAAACCCAGTGGCAGAGGCTGATGCTTGGCTTCCATCCAGGTGGAAAGTGGGGGGTAAAAGGGCTTTTTTTGGCAGTTAAGATTCTGGTTCCTCACGTGAGAAGCTCTCCTCAGACAACAGGGAGGTGGCCAAACTGCATTGGGCAGAACCTGGCTCTCCCTGGGGCAGCAGAGATCTCACCTCCTTGCTGTCACAACCACACACCACTGGAGCTTCAGGCAGGGTCAGGCTGGGGAAGAAGGGCACCTACAAGTGACTGGAGGACGTTAAGGCAGCATTCAGCAGCTCAGCCCAGAGAAAACCCTTCACACCAGTCCCCCCATACCCCTCCTCAGTGCAGGCACCCCGCAGGAGGCACAGCACTGGGCTGATGTGTGACCTTGATGAAAGGGTAACACCTATAGAACATTTTATTGCACCAATTTACCCTTCAGGAAGGCAGAAAATGGCTTTTCACCTCAGGGGATCACTTTGCCCAGTGTTAGCTGTGTGTTGGGAGGTGAGGAGGGAGCCAGGCCCCTGCTGTGGTGATGTGACAGCCTCAAAGACCAGGCAGAAAAGGGCACCAAGCCCCGGGCAGATGCGTTCAGGCTCCATGCGTGATGTCCTTGCTTTTCAGAAGCAATGAGAGGATGGGAGACCTTTCCACTGGAAGATGGCAGAAGGGAGAAGCAGGGTGCTGAACTCCACTAACCCCTGGGAAACAAGGCATGGAGAGGCTGTATCTACTCCTCATCCCAGCAGGAGATGACCAAACCACCCACCAACAACGGTTTACAGCTGAAATGGAGGTAACTTAGACTGCAGACCACATTTATTTCACCTGCTGGACGTGAATGATAACAGGAGTGCCACAGACAACCATTTATCTGGATTTAAAGCCCATTTGGAGCAAACAGGGAATCAAATATGCACTATTCTGGGTTTTTTCCAACACAAAGTGATGTCAAACACCTTCCCTGCCACAAGACAGGGCTGTAAAAGTTATTTTTATTTACTAATGCTACACGACATCTCCATAATGAGCTTTTAATTAAAACCTATTTCTGTTAACCACTGAGGAGGCCAAAAACGCACCCAGGCGTGAGGAGGCAGATGGTGCAGCCAAGCACACTGCGTGGTGTCTGCCCAAGGCAGAGCCAGAGCAGGGCACAGGGACAAGAAGCTGCTGTGGCAATGGCCAGCCAGCACTGAGGAGTGGGAGAGGTGGAGGGGACAACAACCAGTGACGTCCCAAAGCCTCCCCTCGCTCCAAGTTGTGTCAGGACCTGAACACAGGAGAAGGACCCCCAAGAGGCTCAGAGAAGGGTTTTGCTCACACAGGGAGCTCTGGATTCCTGTGCCAAGGTAATGCCATGGTGCTGCTGCCACACGGTCTGCATTACAGCACCTTCTCCCCATCCCAGGACATGCACAGGAGCAATCCCAAGCCAAACCCGATGGACACGGGGCATTCCAGCACAAGCCTGGCCTGCTCTGATGCTCCTTGGCATGCTGATGACTCTGAAAACACACAGCTTGCCCCAGGGAAAGCCAAGCCAGACTTTAAGGAGACAGTGCCCTGAGCCCCTTGGGCAAGGGCAAGTTTAACTCTGAATGAAGCAAGGTGAAGCCATGTATGCTGCCAGTCCCATGGGCTGTTTGATTTTCATAGAATCCCAGCTTGGTTTGGGTTGAAGGGACCTTAAAGCTCCTCCAGTTCCAACCCCTGCCACGGGCAGGGACCCCTTCCACTAGAGCAGCTTGCTCCAAGCCCCTGTGTCCGACCTGGCCTTGAACACTGCCAGGGATGGGGCAGCCACAGCTTCTCTGGGCACCCTGTGCCAGCGCCTCAGCACCCTCACAGGGAAGAGCTTCTGCCTCAGAGCTCATCTCAGTCTCCCCTCTGGCAGGTTAAAGCCATTCTCCCTTTTCCTGTCCCTACATCCCTTGTCCCAAGCCCCTCTCCAGCTTTCCTGCAGCCCCTTCAGGCACTGGAGCTGCTCTCAGGTCTCCCCTTCAGGAGCCTTCTCTTCTCCATGCTG